TTAACATGCCATCATTGTTGCTCAAGACACATTACTGTCACATACAACTTCTCTTAAAACACATTGCTGTAAGATACAACTGTTGTTGGTCCATACACATTGCTGTAACATACCATTATTGTTGGTCAAAACACATTACTGTAACGTTCAACTGTTGATGTTGAAGACACATTGCTGTAACAAACAACGGTTGTTGGTAAAGACGCATTACTGTAATGGTCAACTGTTGTTGGTCCAGACACATTACTGTAACGTACAACTGTTGTCGGTCAAGACACATATCTGTAATGGACAACTGTTGTTGGTCAAAACACATTACTGTAACGTTCAACTGTTAATGGTCAAGACACATTGATGTAACATGCAACTGTTGTTGGTCAAGACCCATTGCTGTAACATGCATTTGTTGTTGGTCAAGACACATTGATGTAACATGCCATCATTCTTGGTCAAGACACATTACTGTAACGTTCAACTGTTGATGTTGAAGACACATTGCTGTAACGTTCAACTGTTGATGTTGAAGACACATTGCTGTAACGTTCAACTGTTAATGGTCAAGACACATTGATGTAACAAACAACTGTTGTTGGTAAAGACAAGTTACTGTAACGTTCAACTGTTGTTGGTCCATACAAATTGCTTTAACATGCCATCATTGTTGCTCAAGACACATTGCTGTAACATGCATTTGTTGTTGGTCAAGACCCATTACTGTAACGTACAATTGTTGTTGGTTAAGACACATTGCTGTAACGTACAACTGTTGTCGGTCAAGACACATTATTGTAACGTACAACTGTTGTTGGTCAAGACAAGTTACTGTAACGTTCAACTGTTGATGGTCAAGACACATTGCTGTAATGTACAACTGTTGTTGTTCAATATACATTTCTGTCACATACAACTGTTGTCAGTCAGACACTTTTCTGTCACATACAACTGTTGTTGGTCAAGACACATTACTGTCACATACAACTGTTGTTGGTCAAGACACATTAATGTCACAAACAACTGTTGTACGTCAAGACACATTACTGTCACAAACAACTGTTGTTGGTCAAGACACGTTGCTCTAACATACAACTGTTGTTGGTCAAGACACATTACTGTAACGTACAACTGTTGATGGTCAAGACACATTGCTGTAATGTACAACTGTTGTTGGTCAAGACACTTTTCTGTAACGTACAACTGTTGTTGGTCAAGACACATTACTGTCACATACGACTTCTCTTAAAACACACTGCTGTAACATACAACTTATCTTAAAACACATTGCTGTAACATACAATGGTTGATGTTCAAGACACATTGCTGTACCTTTTAACTGTTGGTAAAGACACATATCTGTAATGTACAACTGTTGTTGGTCAAGAAAGACACACTACTGTTACATACAACTGTTGTTGGTTAAGACACACTAGTGTTAAGTACAACTGTTGTTGGTCAAGACACATTATTGTAACGTACAACTGTTTTTGGTCAAGACACATTGCTGTAACATGCAACTGTTGTTGGTCAAGACATATATTACTGTCACATACAACTTCTCTTAAAACACATTGCTGTAACGTACAACAGTTGTGAGAAATATTGTTCCCAAAAACTGTTTAGAAAGAATTAAACTTTTTTTGTAAAATAATGTCCTTAATATATGATCATACAGAATCCGCAGAGAAAATTGATTTATCAAGATTATCAGTATCCAGAGCGATCATCTGTAATGGAGTTCACAGTAAAATATTACTTAATCATTCAGTCTTAATCAGTCTACATTAATTTACACTTTTAACACACACTCAATTACAGCAAAATATGTTTACAATTTTATTGGACACACAGTGGACACAAATAGTTTAAGTTTATTAGGAATTGTTTTACATAGATTTTGTTTAATACGCAAGTAATCGTACCACATTTGAATCCTGTTTCCAATCATCTAGACTTGCTGATTATGTATGTAATTTTCAATCATTCCTGACTGCTCCTACCTTAATTAACATGTTGAGATCATAAAACATTGAGAAATAATACTACATTTCATATAAAATAAAACTATTCACACATTATGAAAATGACATAGTATGTTAATCATGACTGACTTTTCTCCAAACTTAAATAAAACAAGAGGCCCAGGAGCCTTAATAGCTCACCTGGATATATTTTTTTATTTAAAACCTGCTGAGTACCATTCAGGTTTATCAAAGGAGTACAAGAAACAAAGTTGCAAGAAGACCTACATATAAATCTGTTTTGGTGAGAAAGACACCAAGAAAATGAGTTTCCATGTTATGTCCCAATTTTCCTCTATTTCCTCTATTGGGCCTCGTCACATGCATCTTTTTATACAAATTTGTACAGAAGGGGAGGGGGGGGGGGCACATCTTCCATTTATAAATATTCAATTCCCTTTGCCCACAGATTCTCTAGAACAAGTTTGGTTAGGTTAAAATCCCTTTAACGGTACAGAAGGAGAAGGATCTTTAATGTTTTCCTCTATTTCCACTAATGGGCCCCACTCATCTGCCCCAAAGAAGGGGATCCACACACCTCAGTTTATACAAATTTGATTCTTTTGTCCCTAATCATGCTTCAGACTGCATTTGGTTTAAATCCCTTCACCTATATAGTAGGAGAAAAAAAACCTCTATTTCCCCTATTGGGCCCCGCCCCTATGCCCCCAGAGGGCCCACACCCTCCGTTTATACAAACTTGAGTCTCCTTTGTCCAAAGATGCTCTAGAACAAATTTGGTCAAAATCCTTCCTTTGGTTGAGAAGAAAAAGATTTTTGACCAAATTTACCTTTTTTCCCCCTATTTGGCCCCGCCCATCTGCACCCAGGGGGATCATACCCTCCGTTTATACAAAACTGAGAACCCTTTGGCTAATGATGCTCCAGCGCAAATTTGGTCAAAATCCCTTCATCGGTACAAAAGGAGAAGGATCTTTGATGTTTTCCTCTATTTCCCCTAATGGGCCTCACCCATCTGCCCCTAGAAGGGGGCCCACACACCTATACAAAACTGAGAACTCTTTGGTTAATGATGCTCCAGACCAAATTTGGTCCAAATCCTCTGAGCCGTTCAGGACTAGTAGCGTTTTTAAGGAAAAAGTTGACGCACAACGGACGCCGGACACCGGATCCCGGACACCGGACGACGGACGCTGCGGCATGGGATAAGCTCACTTGGCCCTTCGGGCCAGGTGAGCTAAAAATAGTAGGTGGACAGCAACTGGAATGTCAAAATTATGATATAAAAAATGTTGATAACAAAATCCCTGAGGCCCTGATAGCACAAACCTGAGGGCCAATACCATACCCCAAAGGAAACGCCATTCTAATATATTGATGGCAATCTTGTATTTTCTGGTTGCCTTACACACTTGTAAAATTTGTCTAGATTACATCATGTCTGGTCACTCCTCACTCTTGTAATTAATACTTTCAATGAATTATAATCCATTGTTCAACAACAGTTAGTATACAGCAGTAAATGTATAGCCTTATTTAGTACATGTTTTTACATTTAAATACTACATCAACTGTTTTAGTCTGTATTGCAGCTCATTGATTGAAGTGACACAGACAACAAGATCATTTAGGGTAAGGGGAAAAATTTGATAATCCAAATTTATGAACCATCGTTTTGGTTTTGCAAACTATATATTAGCGTGATGAGAATCAATGAACATATTAACCCTTTCACCCCTATGTAACTTTAGTAGACTCTATTATGCATTGATATGGATGAGTCCATTATGGTCCACAGTGGTGAAAGGGTTAAAGGGCACTCATTTCTTCAGGCCTAGCTTTCATTACATACATCATAAGTATACATGCACATTTCATGTGTGACTTCTGATTGTAAATATTGGATTGCCTCCATCATTGACACAGTAAAATCGAATGTGATGTCAAGAGTGTGAACTATCCAGCTTACACTAGCACTAATACCACAGACGGTAGAATATCTGTCTACCCCAGTATTAGTACACGCATCAGTCACAGTCCTTCATCCATCTATAGAAATCACTCATCGGTCACAGTCCTTCATACATCTATAGAAATCACTCATCAGTCACAGTCCTTCATCCATCTATAGAAATCACTCATCGGACACAGTCCTTCATACATCTATAGAAATCACTCATCAGTCAGTCCTTCATACATCTATAGAAATCACTCATCAGTCACAGTCCTTCTTACATCTATAAAAATCACTCATCAGTCACAGTCCTTCATACATCTATAGAAATCACTCATCGGTCACAGTCCTTCTTACATCTATAGAAATCACTCATCAGTCAGTCCTTCATACATCTATAGAAATCACCCATCAGTCACAGTCCTTCATACATCTATAGAAATCACTCATCAGTCACAGTCCTTCATACATCTATAGAAATCACTCATCGGTCACAGTCCTTCATACATCAATAGAAATCACTCATCAGTCACAGTCCTTCATACATCTATAGAAATCACTCATCAGTCAGTCCTTCATACATCTATAGAAATCACTTATCAGTCACAGTCCTCAATACATCTATAGAAATGACTCATCAGTCACAGTCCTTCATACATCTATAGAAATCACTTATCAGTCACAGTCCTCAATACATCTATTAAAATCACTCATCAGTCACAGTCTGTCATACACCTGTAGAAATCACTCATCGATCACAGTCCTTCATACATCTATAGAAATCACTCATCAGTCACAGTCCTTCATACATCTATAGACATCACTCATCAGTCACGGTCCTTCATACATCTATAGAAATCACTCATCAGTCACAGTCCTTCATACATCTATAGACATCACTCATCACTCACAGTCCTTCATACATCTATAAAAAATCACTCATCAGTCACAGTCCTTCATACATCTATAGAAATATATCATCAGTCACAGTCCTTCATACATCTATAGAAATCACTCATCAGTCACAGTCCTTCATACATCTATAGAAATCAGAGACAGCAATAATCAGATATTTGATTAAAGTTTTAGTTTCATGGATATGTCTTTATACTTGAAAAGATTGAAGTAAATTGTTAAAAAACAATAACAATCACATGTAAAGCTAATGTAAATTAAACTTCAATAGAAAAATAATGTCACAGAATCTCCATGATATAAATTATATCACTGTTCAAATCTAGATCTTATCAGCACAGGAAAACACCTTTAACACTGATCTATGGTCTGGTCAAGTACAGCTGAATCTAAAGTCCTATATCTGGTCCTTATATCAATATCAAACTGACTCAACTTGTGTCAAGGTCATGTCTGGTTACACTTTTGAATTAAATGATTTTTCACTTTTGGGATTTCATGAGAAGTAATCTCATTGGCTAATGAAAAGGTCGTTGACCTCAGATGACGGTGTGACAACATAAACACAAGAACCAGATACTGGAAATAGCAAAAATGTTTGTGAACATTTATTTTTCAGGTTGCTGTTCAATTGTTGACTTATTTGGGAGAATTTTAATTCATTAATAGATCAACAACACAGACACACCTGTTCTATAATGGGTCTGAGCACACATTTTAGACAACAGTATTAGAATCAACAACAATCATCATGAAATATAATTATCATTAAACATGAAGAGACCAACACCATCTTTATGACGGAAGGTTTGATTATATTTATAACAAACCAGCATAAAACACCCATGTTATTTCAGCATTCATAGACAGACAATATCATTGTATAAACAACACATAGGTGGGTTAAACAACATGAAAGCATGTACCAAAACTGATATCGCTCAGTCTTATATTCCTTGATTTTGAAATCAGAAACCAAGATTTTTTAAAAATAAACTGGCACCTTGAGCTCATAAATTTGAAAATCACTATATGATGGAAATTCTGAAATCAAAGCTGTGTCAGCAAATAATTATCTAAGTTCAAAAAGAAAACAATATAAGTGATAATTTTCAATGAAAATAACATATCCCTGAATATTGCATCAGTTAAAACAAATATTAGCCGACTTTTATCTTGGCACACAAGCTTAATTATGCATTAACAAAACTACACTTTCTTTCCAGCAATGAAGACAAACTGGGCAAGATAAAAACAACCGTGCTGTACCTCTATCTACACACAAGTAGATAAAAAAACAACCGTGCTGTACCTCTATTTACACACAAGTAGATAAAAACAACTGTGCTGTACCTCTATCTTCACACAAGTAGATAAAAACAACCGTGCTGTACCTCTATCTACACACAAGTAGCAGTGCTATACGTGCTAGCTAAGATTAATACTAATAGATGTAAAAGTCACACAAACCTATCACACAAATAGCATGGATACATTGTGTATTTTCTCATTTAAAACAGGGTCAGAATCACAGACTTTTCATGAAAAATAATTCACACAAAATGTTCGAGATACAAAATGGTCCCATGAGGAAAATAAGCACATATCAGAACCAAATTTTGAACATTTTTTTGGTAATTTCTTTCCGAGTAACAAAGTTACATTTGAGCCTATCCAAATGGAGGTTAAATATTTACAGTGTATGGTAACAAAATCACTCTGTTTGTATAGCTTGTTAAGCTAAGCACTGTACTTTATAATTCAGCACTGACTGTTTTGCTGGACGCGTCAGGATACAGATTTTTAAAATGGCACATTTAGCTCAAGTTGTTGGCCCCTAACAACAGAAGATGTGACTTACAGGCACCTGAAGATAAAACGCTACAGTTAGCTCAAGTTGCTGGCCCCTAACAACAGAAGATGTGACTTACACCTGAAGATAAAACGCTACAGTTAGCTCAAGTTGTTGGCCCCTAACAACAGAAGATGTGACTTACACCTGAAGATAAAACGCCATAGTTAGCTCAAGTTGTTGGCCCCTAACAACAGAAGATTTGACTTACACCTGAAGATAAAACGCCACAGTTAGCTCAAGTTGTTGGCCCCTAACAACAGAAGATGTGACTTACAGACACCTGAAGATAAAATGCCACAGTTAGCTCAAGTTGTTGGCCCCTAACAACAGAAGATGTGACTTACACCTGAAGATAAAACGCCAGTGGGATATACCAGCTATGTGTAGCAGCATAGCATCATCGGAGATTTAAGGTATGAAGTGAATCTCTTTAAACAATTAATAAAATACAATGTTATTATGCATTAACAGTGAGAGAGTTATTGTCATAATTCTCTTGCTCCTCGACTAAATTATCGGACAGTTTTTCTTCTGATTCTTTTGTCGATATGCCTGGTTTTAAAACACTATTTCCTGCTTGGTCAGCAGACATGTCTGTCTTTGTGTCCTGTGATTGGTTAGCAGACATGTCTGTCTTTGTGTCCTGTGATTGGTCAGCAGACATGTCTGTCTGTGTGTCCTGTGATTGGTCAGCAGATATGTCTGTCTGTGTGTCCTGTTTCTTGTTGATATTAGCTGCTGTTGTCTGGCTATCATCTACTAACATTAAATCAGTATTTTCTGTGTTTTTACTCACAGCTAAATTATCACTTGTCACTGAGATATAATTAGATGACCTATGAACTTCGACCTTGTGACCCTTAAACTCTTCTTGGCCATCCTGTTCTCCAGCTTTTGGTGCTGCCTCCAGGTGTTCAGAACTGGAACCAAACACAATGTAGTTGTTCATGCTGTCGGTTGCGTTGAAGGCTGGACGCAGACTGGACGCTGTCTCAAGTGAAGCTGTGTCCCAGTCGGTGGGGTCATTATTCATAGACGAAGTACTACCTTGTGTGTAGCTATCTTTAGATTCTGTGAGGAGTGGGGTCCGCTCACTTCTGTCACGAAGTAATGGTTTACTCACAGTCTTTTTTACCTTGTTACCTGTAAAGTGAATGGTAAGTTAAATATTACCCTCCACATGGCCTCCAGTGTATTAGTCATTTTCAAACTTACCTTGTCAATGAGTAACAGCAATTTTGATAATAAGATTAGTGTCACACATTGTAGTTAGTATACGTTTCATTTTATATATTTGTTGGTAGGCCATACGTAAGATTAGTGGCGCCTAGCTAAATGTTACCCTTGGTAAATAAAGCTATAAATTATCAAATAATTATTTGATACCTCTGTCTATGTCTCTTATAAATGACTTTCTTCTCCGACCCTATATCCTATCCAACTTATCTGATCTCAAGTTTGAAGATGAAAACAGAAACCAAACCAATCATCACATTTCTTACTTTCTTAGGCTCAAGTCAAGTCACCAAAGGAAAACTAACTCAATGAAATCAAATTTGAAAAATACCCACCCAGAACAGGACAAAAGGGGCCATGAAAATAGGTCAAACGTAAATGACATCTCTGACATATTTCACTAGTCTTTCATTGAAGTGATTTACATCAAATGTGATTTGTATTATGATAGAGTTTTACTTAGGGGTCTAGGTACACCAAGTTAAATGAGGTTAAATTGTGAGAATTGGTAGGGTATTATGTTTATAATAATGTGGGATAGTCTGATACATCAGTATGACCCCATCAACAACTGACCTATGACTCGGACGTGTTCCACGACATCATCCTTCATGTCCGAGACATCCCACATAGACCTGAAGGACTGCCACCAGCTCTGTCCCTCAAAGTTCGAGTCGACGAATGGCTTGTGTGAGAAAGAGTAGTAGTGAGCAATGGCTGCCAGGAACATCTCCACACAGATGCAGAAATCCTGAAATAAACGATCTGTTTAATCTACTAAATACCTGATACATTGATGTTCCCTAAAATCAAAGTTGGAAATACTTAACCAACACAAATCAAATTTCATAATTTGTTAAAACAACCATTTGTTGCTAGTACACACGTCACAAACTTTAAACTAACACATCAGCAATAAATCTTTAATAGCTATTTGAAGTATTTGAAGTACTATGAGTGTGTAACCTAAGTGACTTTTGACCTATGACCTGACCTTGATCCTGTGACCTGGGTGTCTTACCTGCAGTCCTGCGGCGGCTTGGTCGACATTCTTATAGTATATCCATTCTCCGTTAGATGGGATGGCGTTAAGTTCCACCAGAGCAGCAATTATCACTGATTGCCTATAACACATTAACAAATGTATCTTATGTACAATGTCTTCCTACATGTACAACGTATTTATGCATAGTCTATTTTTTCAGACAAAATCAAACAGCAAATGGCTTATTCACCAATTTTCATACAATGTATCAACATTGTCTGCATAACTGGCTGAAAGATTGTGATAACATTCAAATATGAATTCATGAAAGTATGAGTACACTCTATGTAAGGATACTTACCAGAATGAGAAGAAGACGACAAATTTAACACAGAGGAACTTCGGAATTGGTTTAATGGGAGCTAACTCTTCCTTCATAGCTTTGTAGAACAGGACCAGACAGTACATTGCCCACTGTGTAAGAAAAATGTTTAGAATGGTCAATTATGATCCGTTGACGGAGCCATTTTAAAGGCCTTCGTGTCTCAGGGTGTAGGGACTCTACTGATGACACCCATAGCTTGACAACTCTACTGATGACACCCATAGCTTGACAACTCTACTGATGACGCCCATAGCTTGACAACTCTACTGATGACCCCCATAGCTTGACAACTCTACTGATGACACCCATAGTTTGACATCTCTACTGACGACACCCATAGTTTGACAACTCTACTTATGACACCCATAGCTTGACTACTCTACTGATGACACCCATAGCTTGACCACTCTACTGATGACACCCATAGCTTGACCACTCTACTGACGACACCCATAGCTTGACAACTCTACTGATGACACTCATAGTTTGACAACTATACTGACGACACCTATAGTTTGACAACTCTACTGATGACACCCATAGTTTGACAACTCTACTGACGACACCCATAGTTTGACAACTCTACTGACGACACCCATAGCTTGACAACTCTACTGATGACACCCATAGTTTGACATCTCTACTGATGACACCCATAGCTTGACAACTCTACTGATGACACCCATAGCTTGACAACTCTATTGATGACACCCATAGTTTGACAACTCTACTGATGACACCCATAGTTTGACAACTCTACTGATGACACCCATAGCTTGACAACTCTACTGATGACACCCATAGTTTGACAACTCTTCTGATGACACCCATAGTTTGACAACTCTACTGACGACACCTAGCTTGACAACAATTGCCAACAACATGAGACAAAACATCAAAATCAACTTTTCTTTTTACATTTTTTTGTAATCCTGGTTTAAGAAAAAACATCTGAATTCAAACATTTTCAAAAATTCTTGTTTTCTAAATCAAATTCTGATTAGTCGGAATTTGATTGAATGATTTCTGAATTGGAATTCCACAAAAGAAAATGAAATAAGCAGGTATACACAATATCAACATCCTGTGTTTTCTTGTTCTTTTTTTTTCATTTTTATTTTTATTTGAGAAATGTTTTTTGAGGCTGAGGTCTATACTCACAATTTGATAAAAAAACAAAATCTTTTGATGTTCACTATTAATTGTACTCACAATTTGATAAAAAACAAAATAATTTGATGTTCGCTATTGATTGTACTCACAATTTGTGATATGTTGTTTATTATGACCAGATAGGACCAGGCTGATGTGAAGTTAAACTGTCCTTCATCATATTTGTTAAAACTTTCACATATCCTGTCAAAAAAAATCAGTTCTTTATGTTTTCTACCTGTTCAATATGGTACATTATCAACATATGCAGTATTATATAATTGAGTCATACACACAAGGTGACAAATTAAGCAATTAAATTATAATATTCTTGATATTATACACAACATTCACAAGGAATTCATTATAACATTGATGATATAATACACAACATTCACAAGGAATTCATTATAATATTGATGATATAATACACAACATTCACAAGGAATTCATTATAATATTGATGATATTATACACAACATTCACAAGGAATTCATTATAACATTGATGATATAATACAACATTCACAAGGAATTCATTATAATATTGATGATATAATACACGACATTCACAAGGAATTCATAATAAAATTAATGATATAATACACAACATTCCCAAGGAATTCATTAAAACATTGATGATATAATACACAGCATTCACAAGGAATTCATTTTAATATTGATGATATAATACACAACATTCACAAGGAATTCATTAAAACATTGATGATATAATACACAACATTAATATAATATATTCTATTGATAAAGTAATCAACTATCACATTGGTGATACAATAACAACAGGCCTGATTACTGTACTCACAGTGCTATTACCGTTGTGACAGGCCTGATTACTGTACTTACAATGCTATTACCATTGTGACATGCCTTATTACTGTACTTACAATGTTATTACTGTTGTGACATGCCTGATTACTGTACTTACAATGCTATTACCATTGTGACAGGCCTGATTACTGTAATAACATTGTAAGTCCAGTAATCAGGCCTGTCACAACAGCAATAGCATTGTAAGTACTGTAATCAGGCATGTCACAACAGTAATAGCATTGTAGGTACAGTAATCAGGCCTGATTACTGTACGTACAATGCTATTACCGTTGTGACAGGCCTGATTACTGTACTAACAGTGCTATTACTGTTGTGACATGCCTGATTACTGTACTTACAATGCTATTACTGTTGTGACAGGCCTGATTACTGTACTTACAATGCTATTACCGTTGTGACAGGCCTGATTACTGTACTCACAGTGCTATTACTGTTGTGACATGCCTGATTACTGTACTTACAATGTTATTACTGTTGTGACAGGCCTGATTACTGTACTCACAATGCTATTACTGTTGTGACAGGTCTGATTACTGTACTTACAATGTTATTACCGTTGTGACAGGCTTGATTACTGGACTTACAATGTTATTACTGTTGTGACAGGCCTGGTTACTGTAATTACAATGCTATTACTGTTGTGACAGGTCTGAGTACTGTACTTACAATGTTATTACTGTTGTGACAGGCCTGATTACTGTACTTAAAATGTTATTACCGTTGTGACAGGCTTGATTACTGTACTTACAATGTTATTACCGTTGTGACAGGCTGATTACTGTACCTTTAATGTTATTACCGTCGTGACAGGCCTGATTACTGTACTTACAATGCTATTACTGTTGTGACAGGCCTGATTACTGTACTTACAATGCTATTATCGTTGAGATAGGCCTGATTACTGTACTTACAATGCTATTACCGTTGTGACAGGCCTAATTACTGTACTTACAATGCTATTACTGTTGTGACATGCCTTATTACTGTACTTACAATGCTATTACCATTGTGACAGGCCTGATTACTGTACTAACAGTGCTAATACCATTGTGACAGGCCTGATTACTGTACTTACAATGCTATTACCGTTGTGACAGGCCTGATTACTGTACTAACAGTGCTATTACCGTTGTGACAGGCCTGATTACTGTACTAACAGTGTTATTACTGTTGTGACAGGCCTGATTACTGTACTTACAATGCTATTACTGTTGTGACAGGTCTGATTACTGTACTAACAGTGCTATTACTGTTGTGACAGGCCTGATTACTGTACTTACAATGTTATTACTGTTGTGACATGCCTGATTACTGTACTTACAATGTTATTACCGTTGTGACGGGCCTGATTACTGTACTTACAATGTTATTACCGTTGTGACAGGCCCGATTACTGTTCTTACAATGTTATTACCATTGTGACATGCCTTATTACTGTACTTACAATGCTATTACTGTTGTGACAGGCCTGATTACTGTACCTTTAATGTTATTACCATTGTGACAGGCCTGATTACTGTACTTACAATGTTATTACCGTTGTGACAGGCCTGATTACTGTACTTACAATGCTATTACTGTTGTTACATGCCTTATTACTGTACTTACAATGCTAATACTGTTGTGACAGGCCTGATTACTGTACCTTTAATGTTATTACCATTGTGACAGGCCTGATTACTGTATTTACAATGTTATTCCCGTTGTGACAGGCCCGATTACTGTTCTTACAATGTTATTACCACTGTGACATGCCTTATTACTGTACGTACAATGCTATTACTGTTGTGACAGGCCACAATGTTATTACTGTTGTGACAGGCCTGATTACTGTACCCTTAATGTTATTACCATTGTGACAGGCCTGATTACTGGACTTACAATGTTATTACCGTTGTGACAGGCCTGATTACCGTACTTACAATGCTATTACCGTTGTGAAAGGCCTGATTACTGTACTTACAATGCTATTACCGTTGTGACAGGCCTAATTACTGTACTTACAATGCTATTACTGTTGTGACATGCCTTATTACTGTACTTACAATGCTATTACCATTGTGACAGGCCTGATTACTGTACTTACAGTGCTATTACTGTTGTGACAGGCCTGATTCCTGTACTTACAATGCTATTACCGTTGTGACAGGACTGATTACTGTACTTACAATGCTATTACCGTTGGTACAGGCCTGATTACTGTACTTACAATGCTATTACTGTTGTGACAGGCCTGATTACTGTATACTGCAAGGCTCCATGTTTACAACGATCAATTAGTTTCCTTTAAAAAAAATACAGCATTTTAAACGAATTCCACCTTATTATTAACAAACTAGATGAGATAAGAGGGGTACTTAACCACTGTGGTAAGTATTGGTCAGAATGTCTACAATTACCACATTGTGTTGACACTTCCGATGGTCCTGACTAAGGAGATGATTTAGTCGTTTGCTATCTGTAAGATATTTCACATTGAGGAGTAAATACCAGGACAGAAAATGAGTGTATACTTCAAATAAACTCATGGCAGCCTTCCTGGATTTTGGACCGACCCGAAAAATACCAACACTTGGTCAGGACCATCTCAGGATCATTTCAGCCAAGTTTCATCGCAATCCCACTGGTGGAACTTGAGAAGAAGTTTAAAATAGGTGTTGTTTAGGAAAACCATGATTGCGCGATCATGTAACAAAATGGCCACCGACATATGTCTGCCATGTTGAAGTTTTGACGGGGCTGAAAAATAACAACACTTTGTCGGCTTCCTTTCCTTAACATCCCCACCAAGTTTTAGCTCAAAGGCACCAGTGGAACTGGAGAAGAAAATGTTCACTGCATTCAGTGCACTTACCAGTTCAAAACATAAAAAAGCTTTAGGTTTATATAAAATAAATTATATTTATCATGATGCTTTTCTTATACATGACACACTGATACACAAGTTAAAATATCTAATATTACAATAAATTCTGTGAAATATTTCATGACCATTCGATGTACATTACATATTTAAAACAGTTTACTTTAAGGAAAATTACTTAAGAAGGGGAGGAGAGCTAAGACGTAAAAGGGCACATCATTTCTCGTACTATAATAATAAATAATAATAATTTGAGGTTCTTATATACCGCTTTATCACAACCTTGTTTGTAGGTTGTCTCAAAGCGGTTCACAAATTATCATCCGTGGTTATAGGGCCTTTGCAAGCAGCCAATACCTTTCTCAACTCCCTGGGGAGCATACAGCTGGAGCTGCCATTTCGGCGCTCACAGCTAGCCATGACTTGAACCCGCAACCCTTCGGTCTCGAGCCGGCGTCCTACCACTAGACTACTGTGCCTTCATAAGCACTATGATGTAAACAGCATACATACCCTGTCATGGGCCAGGGACGAAGCCAGCAGATAGGAAAGAGGTGTCGCACTTGTTCCTTGTCCCTGAGGACAAGGTCAAGCTGAGGATGTTCCTCCCAAAGGGAGCTAAGTAAGTAGGCCATGAAGTTGTAGATGACGTAGGCCTCATAACACTCTCTCACAGTATCCAGATAGATGGCTGCGTCGGGGAAACGAAGCGCAAACCACTACAATTACAAAGTCTGTTGTAAAAACATGAAAAAATATACATGTATGTTATGCTTATATCATCATAGACTACTAATAATTCAGATAGGGGCTGTGAGTTTGTGAAATCAGGATTGCGATTCAGGGTTTTCCACAGACTCTGGGATTAAGGGTTAATTACTTGATCTTCCTAATAAACAATTAAAGTAACTGTAAGATGATATAATTACATGAGATCTCACAACACAATGACATAAATAATTTGGTTACTATTTAGTACTTACAGCATTTAAAGCATAAATTGGGACCATCCAAAGAATTCTGAAAATGGAAAATGACATTGCATCAAAAAAATGTACTTTATGTAAACATACTTATGTTTAATGAATACTGTAAGTAAATGCAGAGACCTATATATATAGCTCTCCCCTATATGCTAATATAACATTTACTGATGGGTCATATTGCAAACTAGACAAATGTCTCAATATGTTACCCTGTCAAAATAAAAGAATATATTATTATTAGACATAAGCCTATAAACATGTAGCTGTAGAAAAGAATATTTCGAAAGGAAAATTGTTACTACAGACAGTTTATGTCTCTGTGTTAAGTTTATGTCTCTGTGTTAAGTATATGTCTCTGTGTTAAGTTTATGTCTCTGTGTTAAGTATATTTCTCTGTGTTAAGTAAATGTGTCTGTGTTAAGTATATGTCTCTGTGTTAAGTTTATGTCTCTGTGATAAGTATATGTCTCTAGATCTGTGATAAGTATATGTCTATGTGTTAAGTTTATGTCTCTGTGTTAAGCTTATGTCTATGTGATAAGTTTATGTCTCTGTGTTAAGTTTATATCTCTGTGATAAGTATATGTCTCTGTGATAAGTATATGTCTCTGTGTTAAGTATATGCCTCTGGGTTAAGTTAATGTTTCTGGTTTAAGAATATGTCTCTGGGTTAAGTTTATGTCTCTGTATTAAGTTTATGTCTCTGTGATAAGTAGATGTCTCTAGATCTGTGATAAGTATATGTCTCTGTGTTAAGTATATGCCTCTGTGTTAAGTTAATGTTTCAGTGTTAAGTATATGTCTCTGTGTTAAGTTAATGTCTCTGTGATAAGTTTATGTCTCTGTGTTAAGTTTATGCCTCTGTGATAAGCATATGTAGTATATGTCTCTGTGTTAAGTTTATGTCTCAGTGTTAAGTATATGTCTCTGTGTTAAGTTAATGTCTCTGTGATAAGTTTATGTCTCTGTGTTAAGTATATGCCTCTGTGTTAAGTTGATGTTTCTGTGTTAAGTATATGTCTCTGTGTGAAGTTTATGTCTCTGTGTTAAGTATATGTCTCTGTGATAAGTTTATGTCTCCGTGTTTAGTTTATGTCTCTGTGATAAGTATATGTCTCTGTGATAAGTATATGTCTCTGTGATAAGTATATGTCTCTAGATCTGTGATAAGTATATGTCTCTGTGTTAAGTATATGCCTCAGTGTTAAGTTAATGTTTCTGTGTTAAGTATATGTCTCAGTGTTAAGTTTATGTCTCTGTGATAAGTATATTAAGTTTATGTCTCTGTGATAAGTATATGTCTCTAGATCTGTGATAAGTATATGTCTCTATGATAAGTTTATGTCTCTGTGTTAAGTTTATGCCTCTGTGTTAAGTTTATGTCTCTGTGTTAAGCTTATGTCTCTGTGTTAAGTTTATGTCTCCATGTTAAGTTTATGTCTTTGTGTTTATGTCTCTGTGTTAAGTATATGTCTCTGTGATAAGTTTATGTCTCTGTGATAAGTTTATGTCTCTGTGTTAAGCTTATGTCTCTGTGTTAAGTTTATGTCTCTGTGATAAATATGTGTCTCTGTGTTAAGTATATGTCTCTGTGTTAGGTATATGACTCTGTGTTAAGTATATGTCTCTGTGTTAAGTTTATGTCTCTGTATTAAGTTTATGTCTCTGTGATAAGTATATGTCTCTAGATCTGTGATAAGTATATGTCTATGTGTTAAGTTTATGTCTCTGTGTTAAGTTTATGTCTCTGTGTTAAGTTTATGTCTCTTTGATAAGTATATGTCTCTATGTTAAGTTTATGTCTCTGTGTTAAGTTAATGTCTCTGTGATAAGTTTATGTCTCTGTGTTAAGTTTATGTCTCTGTGTTAAGTTTATGTCTCTTTGTTAAGTTTATGTCTCTGTGTTAAGTTTATGTCTCCATTATAACTTTATGCCTCTGTGTTAAGTTTATGTTTCTGTGATAAATATATGTCTCTGTGATAAGTATATGTCTCTGTGTTAAGTTTATGTCTCCGTGTTAAGTTTATGTCTCTGTGATAAGTATATGTCTCTGTGATAAGTATATGTCTCTGTGATAAGTATATGTCTCTAGATCTGTGATAAGTATATGTCTCTGTGTTAAGTTTATGTCTCTGTGTTAAGTTTATGTCTCTGTGATAAGTATATGTCTCTGTGATAAGTATATGTCTCTGTGTTAAGTTTATGTCTCTGTGATAGGTTTATGTCTCTGTGTAAAGTTTATGTCTCTGTGATAAGCTTATGTCTCTGTGTTAAGTTTATGTCTCCATGTTAAGTATATATCTCCATGTTAAGTATATATCTCTGTTAAGTTTATGTCTCTGTGTTAAGTTAATGTCTCTGTGTTAAGCTTATGTCTATGTGATAAGTTTATGTCTCTGTGTTAAGTTTATGCCTCTGTGATAAGCATATGTCTCTAGATCTGTGATAAGTATATGTCTCTATGATAAGTATATGTCTCTATGATAAGTTTATGTCTCTGTGTTAAGTTTATGTCTCTGTGTTAAGTTTATGTCTCCATGTTAAGTTTATGTCTTTGTGATGAGTTTATGTCTCTGTGTTAAGTTTATGTCTCTGTGATAAATATATGTCTCTGTGTTAAGTTTATGTCTCTGTGATAAGTTTAGGTCTCCGTTATAAGTTTATGTCTCTGTGATAAGTTTATGTCTCAGTGTTAAGTTTATGTCTCTGTGATAAGTATATGTCTCTGTGTTAAGTTTATGTCTCCGTGTTAAGTTTATGTCTCTGTGATAAGTTTATGTCTCTGTGATAAGTATATGTCTCTGTGTTAAGTTTATGTCTCTGTGATAAATATATGTCTCTGTGTTAAGTTTATGTCTCTGTGATAAATATATGTCTCTGTGTTAAGTTTATGTCTCTGTGATAAGTTTAGGTCTCCGTTATAAGTTTATGTCTCTGTGATAAGTTTATGTCTCTGTGATAAGTTTATGTCTCTGTGTTAAGTTTATGTCTCTGTGATAAGTATATGTCTCTGTGTTAAGTTTATGTCTCTGTGATAAATATATGTCTCTGTGTTAAGTTTATGTCTCTGTGATAAATATATGTCTCTGTGTTAAGTTTATGTCTCTGTGATAAGTTTAGGTCTCCGTTATAAGTTTATGTCTCTGTGATAAGTTTATGTCTCAGTGTTAAGTTTATGTCTCTGTGTTAAGTTTATGTCTCTGTGATAAGTATATGTCTCTGTGTTAAGTTTATGTCTCCGTGATAAGTATATGTCTCTGTGTTAAGTTTATGTCTCTGTGATAAATATATGTCTCTGTGTTAAGTATATGACTCTGTGTTAAGTTTATGTCTTCGTGTTAAGTTTATGTCTCTGTGTTAAGCTTATGTATATGTGATAAGTTTATGTCTCTGTGTTAAGTTTATGTCTCTGTGATAAGTTTATGTCTCTTTGTAAAGTTTATGTCTCTGTGTTAAGTTTATGTCTCTGTGTTAAGCTTATGTCTATGTGATAAGTTTATGTCTCTGTGTTAAGTTTATGTCTCTGTGATAAGTTTATGTCTCTGTGATAAGCATATGTCTCTAGATCTGTAATAAGTATATGTCTCTGTGTTAGGTATATGTCTCTATGATAAGTATATGTCTCTATGATAAGTTTATGTCTCTGTGTTAAGTTTATATCTCTGTGATAAGTATATGTCTCTGTGATAAATATATATCTCTGTGTTAAGTTTATGTCTCTGTGTTAAGTTTATGTCTCTGTGTTGAGTTTATGTCTCTGTGTTAAGTTTATGTCTCTGTGATAGTTTATGTCTCTTTGATAAGTTTATGTCTCTGTGATAAATATATGTCTCTGTGTTAAGCTTATGTCTATGTGATAAGTTTATGTCTCTGTGTTAAGTTTACGTCTCTGTGATAAGTTTATGTCTCTGTGATAAGCATATGTCTCTAGATCTATAATAAGTATATGTCTCTGTGTTAAGTATATGTCTCTATGATAAATATATGTCTCTGTGTTAAGTATATGTCTCTGTGTTAAGTTTATGTCTCTGTGATAAATATATGTCTCTGTGTTAAGTTTATGTCTCTGTGATAAGTTTAGGTCTCCGTTATAAGTTTATGTCTCTGTGATAAGTTTAGGTCTCCGTTATAAGTTTATGTCTCTGTGATAAGTTTATGTCTCAGTGTTAAGTTTATGTCTCTGTGATAAGTATATGTCTCTGTGTTAAGTTTATATCTCTGTGTTAAGTTTGTCTCTGTGATAAGTTTATGTCTCAGTGTTAAGTTTATGTCTCTGTGTTAGGTATATGTCTCAGTGTTAAGTTTATGTCTCTGTGTTAAGTTTATGTCTCTGAAACACATCTTTATGTTCTGAACCTTATAATATATCAGAACATCTCTCCAATATAACTTATTCGAATACAAAATTCACAAACATTGAATGCAATGTTGTTTAACAATATATGCCATCCAATCCCTCTTATAAAGGTGATCAGATCAGTCCCCTATATAATGTTGGTAAAATAACTTTGTTGTTACAGCTTACACTTAATGTCCTGATTTAACCATCCTCAACTTTTAGAGCATTATTAAACATCAACAGATTAGTGTATTGATCAAACGACATACCCACAATCTATGTATTAGTACAAACGACACACCCACAATCCATGTATTAGTACAAACGACACATACACAATCTATGTATTAGTACAAACGACACACCCATAATCTATGTATTAGTACAAACAACACACCCACAATCTATGTATTAGTACAAACGACACACCCACAATCCATGTATTAGAACAAATGACACACAAACAATCTATGTATTAGAACAAATGACACACCCACAATCTATGTATTAGTACAAACGACACACCCACAATCTATGTATTAGTACAAACGACACACCCACAATCTATGTATTAGTACAAATGGCACACCCACAATCTATGTATTAGTACAAATGACACACCCACAATCTATGTATTAGTACAAACGACACACCCACAATCTATGTATTAGTACAAATGACACACCCACAATCTATGTATTAGTACAAATGACACACCCACAATCTATGTATTAGTACAAATGACACACCCACAATCTATGTATTTGAACAAATGACACACCCACAGTCTATCTATTAAGTAAAAAGATGACTGGACAACATCCACTTGAATTGACTTGGCAAATTTATTGCAGTTTACTAGTTTCAGCTTATTAGATAATCGTCAGAACAATTCTTTACAATTCAAAACAGACCTAAAGTATGAAATGCGGTGCCTTTGCCTGGCAACGATCACAAGGTGTAAATAGTGACGTCACAAGAGATTGACGTCATAGTTCATGAGTCCATAATTTGGCAGACTATTCAAAGCTAACACATGACTATGGCAGAGTTAATGATCTATGTATTAGTAAACAATATACAGAAACATTTAAAGCCTGGATATCTTTTTTTAAATACCACAACAATATGTACAAACACATTTACAGTAATTAAAATGCCAATCAAAACCATTTTACAGACACTATTATTTGGGGCAATGGTCACAGAAGCTGAAGAAGTTAAAGTATTAGCAGTTCTGTTACACATCAATGCAATAACTTTAACAAGTTACGAGGCCCATGAGGTCCTTGTGTTTGTAACGTCCATACCCGTCCGTGTTTTTGTCTGTCTTTCGTTAAATTGTAAAAACTCTCTTTCAAGTTTCTCATCATAACCCAGGTTTAGGTCACCCCAGCATAACTGTCTGTGCTCATCTCCTGAATGCTAGTCGTTTCGGTAACAAGTGGTTTCGGTAATAAGTGGTTTCGGGACAAAATTAAGTAGTTTCGGGACTTACTCAAGTCGTTTCGGGACATATAAAAAATATAATCAAAATATAAATGAATGTTACAAGTTACATTTCTCTTTCCCATTTCGTAAAAATCTGTGTAAACACAGCTTTCGTCCTAGCCTTTCAGCAACGACGTCACGATTTATGTGTACACAAGAGTACGCATATGGCGGCTTCGACCTACCCGTGCTTGGGATTTAGTTTTGCCAATTCGCGCCACGCTTAGATTGCTTGAGGGGGTACCTGCCAACATTAACCTGATTGACAACATGTTATTAATTTGATTAAACTAATCCCATTATTAATTAGAGAGGAACGAACACCAAGTACCGAACCGAACGCGCGGTCAATATCAATTAATCAATCAATTATTTTTACATAATTTCATTGGTTATTTAAGGTTCCTTGTTTGATATCGTGATAACATGTTTTCGTTTTACTCTTTTCCCTATTTAATGTGGCCAACTTGATCAAGTTTCCCTTTTTACAGAAGTACTAATTTGACAGTAAATTCTGCATATAAAAAGTCCCGAGATGTCCCGAAACGACTTTTGACACTCCCGAAACGACCCGGAAAAAGGTCCCGAAACGACTTCCGTCTTGTTACCGAAACGACTTGTTACCGAAACGACCTGACACCCATCTCCTCCCCAAGAAAGAAAATTACCTAAAATCCTGCTATTAAACACTACTAGTTAATGCCAAAAGTAGATTACAACAATTTCAGTATGAAACATCATTTAGAAACAATCACTTCTTATATAAATGAGGTACTGACACCATTGACAGCAGGACGGGGCCTTAAAAGGATAAATCTGGAGGGAAACATTCCTAATGCATGTAGGCCTACATCTGTACATATAAGTTGAAGATGGTACTGATTATTATTTATGTAGCTAACTCGAAAGTTATACCACTGAAGCTGTTGTGATCACAGCATTACAAGATCATACCTTATTATGTGTCGCTGAAGGTGTGGTTGTGTGTAGTTGACAAGATGCTGAAGAATACCCCACAGTGATATGGGTACCGCGCACATCACGAATATCCCGCCGGCAAACCATGCTTGGACGTGGGTTGGTGCCCCTTCTCTGTGTAGTTCAATTATACACAATGGCAGAGCTATTATCGCTAAAATGAAATATATTGCTATAAAACCAGGACGAATCCATCGTTTCCATTGTCCCATGCAATCCATGACTTTGGCATAATGTAAACAGCACTTTCAGAGACAGTTTACTGTATACAAACTTTGACGTCCACCATTTTTGATGTCATGTGAACACAGATCATGTGATGTTAGTTTATTAAGTACTAAAGACCTGAGTAGTACCAGAAATAACCAGAGTAGAGTGGATTTTTTCTGAGCGGATTGTCAGTTCATATATTGCTGGATTTAGTGGAAAAGTAAAATTCAAAGGATTATGGACAGTAATAATTCCCTATAATCTATAAGTTTTAGTTTACATAGACCATGGTCAAACCTAAATGAGCTATTGCAACCTGTCGTCTTCTCAACAACAATTGCATAGAATTCAACGAAATTGTGTAATACGTATCTTTAGGTTATGTTGATTCAAATTCGTACCAAAGTGTCGATAACACAATATATTGCCAAACATCTAAGTATTGTCGTTTGTAAAAATGCACATTAAGATATTGTAGAAATTGATGTCAAGAATACGGTAAGAAAATGTTCATGGTCGGGAGGTCAAAGGTCGACGTAACAGATGTATTGGAAACATATAAAAAATGGTTAACAACATTTGATGTTTCGTGAGATTTCCATTTATACATTCATGATATTTGTGAGGTCATGACATCAATTATCAAGGTCAGAGATGCTTAAGAAACAAAAGGTCAATGTCAAACTAATTGTCTTAGAACATATTAACGTTTCTTTCATGCATGTACATGTATTGTAGATTAGAACATATTAACGTTTCTTTCATACATGTACATGTATTGTACATTAGAACATATTGACGTTTCTTTCATACATGTACATGTATTGTAGATTAGAAAATATTGATGTTTCTGTCATACATGTACATGTATTGTAGATTAGAACATATTGACGTTTCTGTCATACATGTACATGTATTGTAGATTAGAACATATTGACGTTTCTGTCATACATGTACATGTATTGTAGATTAGAACATATTGACGTTTCTGTCATACATGTACATGTATTGTAGATTAGAACATATTGACGTTTCTGTCATACATGTACATGTATTGTAGATTAGAACATATTGACGTTTCTGTCATACATGTACATGTATTGTAGATTAGAACATATTGACGTTTCTGTCATACATGTACATGTATTGTAGATTAGAACATATTGACGTTTCTGTCATACATGTACATGTATTGTAGATTAGAACATATTGACGTTTCTGTCATACATGTACATGTATTGTAGATTAGAACATATTGACGTTTCTGTCATACATGTACATGTATTGTAGATTAGAACATATTGACGTTTCTGTCATACATGTACATGTATTGTAGATTAGAACATATTGACGTTTCTGTCATACATGTACATGTATTGTAGATTAGAACATATTGACGTTTCTGTCATACATGTACATGTATTGTAGATTAGAACATATTGACGTTTCTGTCATACATGTACATGTATTGTAGATTAGAACATATTGACGTTTCTGTCATACATGTACATGTATTGTAGATTAGAACATATTGACGTTTCTGTCATACATGTACATGTATTGTAGATTAGAACATATTGACGTTTCTGTCATACATGTACATGTATTGTAGATTAGAACATATTGACGTTTCTGTCATACATGTACATGTATTGTAGATTAGAACATATTGACGTTTCTGTCATACATGTACATGTATTGTAGATTAGAACATATTGACGTTTCTGTCATACATGTACATGTATTGTAGATTAGAACATATTGACGTTTCTGTCATACATGTACATGTATTGTAGATTAGAACATATTGACGTTTCTGTCATACATGTACATGTATTGTAGATTAGAACATATTGACGTTTCTGTCATACATGTACATGTATTGTAGATTAGAACATATTGACGTTTCTGTCATACATGTACATGTATTGTAGATTAGAACATATTGACGTTTCTGTCATACATGTACATGTATTGTAGATTAGAACATATTGACGTTTCTGTCATACATGTACATGTATTGTAGATTAGAACATATTGATGTTTCTGTCATACATGTACATGCATTGTAGATTAGAACATATTGACGTTTCTGTCATACATGTATTGTAGATTAGAACATATTGATGTTTCTGTCATACATGTACATGTATTGTAGATTAGAACATATTGACGTTTCTTTCATACATGTACATGTATTGTAGATTAGAACATATTGACGTTTCTTTCATACATGTACATGTATTGTAGATAAGAACATATTGAAGTTTCTGTCATACATGTACATGTATTGTAGATTAGAACATATTGACGTTTCAGATTTATATCGTTATAAATCTCTGATTTAGATAGAGTTCATACAGGAATTATTTTGCTCTCTAGATCTGCACCCCTGGTAATTGAAGGCACGCGAAAAGCTATTTGATTGGTCTCAGGAGAAAAACCCTGACCAATCACTAGGCTATGTACATGTACTTTGAAGATTACAACGGGTTGTATTGGGTAAATCGACGGACTCCATTACAAAGGAGCGACACCCCATTTGACCGTTACGTGGCTGACAGATTCTTTTGATGTCAAATGATCCAACTATTCCAGGGGTACAGAGAGCGTAAGTAAGCGTAACCTGTGGAATATCGAGGATGATTGTTGACTATGACGAAAGTAACAATATGGTTATGAAGCTCATTTAAACCACGGAATTAGATTATCTAAGTCTGTGATCTAAACATATTTATTTTTAGCAACTGCTGAATAATAGAGGTCTAGGGTCATTATAGTTTGCAGCATGATTAAGTGAAGGGCTCTCAATTTTTATCAAATGATGACTTTTAAATATTGCTTGACATTGATCAAATATGTTAAGAACAATTTCTGATTGCTTGTTTTAAAGATCCAGAGGAATGCAGAGGCGGATCCAGATACCTATCTGGGGGGGGGGGGGGGGGGTCCAAATTTCCTGGGGTGGGGTGTACTATGTTGGAAAAAATATTGAGGCCTTATTTGATAAACGAACAGCTGTGGTCCGACCGGTTTGGACGTTTAAACGAAAACGGCACTGGTCCTAAAAGACGCTTTAATCTTGTCAGTTCCGGTCACCATTCAGATCTTTAGTAGTCTCTTGACTCTGTAATCGGAATGTTTCGGAATATACGTATACGTAAGGTAACATTCCGAAAAGTATAAATCAACTTCCGGGTGACTCATTTTCACGCACTTCACGATCATAACAAAACGCATCCGTCTCCACTGAACAAGGCCTAGATTATAGATTAATTCCACGAGGACGTTAAAAGGTAAGATATTCTTCTAACTCGTGATGTCTCGTGACAATGTGTTGTTAACCAATGACAGCTTATCAAAAGGGCTAACAACCAACTTCAGATAGGCCAACATCGACGTCATTAGCCAATGTCGTTGAGCATATTGAGGACCAGTTTCGTTTTCAATGCAGTATTTCATATAGGATAACATCAGTGTAGGTAATGTGTTAAAAGGCTAATATTTTCTTCAAAATAATTACGAATGACCTATGGTAAAACAATTTGTCTGAGAGTTTTGAGGTGCTGACATCAAAAATCTGCAATGACACAACACATAATACTGATAATTGTGTTATTTATTTATCTAAAACTGCCCTTTTTATCACCAACAGCTGGTAAATTCCTTCAGTAGAGTTCTCGGGTGTTCAATTGTTCAAAATGTCCAACCTGAGCGACACCATTTTTGTACATTATGTGAATTACACAGGAGTGACTAATCAACAAAATGAGGTGGTCAGAATTTTTCTAAATAGAAAATGTATTCTGTTTCAGTACGAAACAGTATGGTTAGCTGATTAGTCACTTCTGTGTAATTTGCGTAGTCTACAAAATTGTGTTACTGAGGTGGGAAATTTGGACGATTGCATACCAAGGACTCTGCTGATGAAATCTAGTGGCGGTTGGTGATAATAAGGATAGTTTTTGAAAAATAAATAAACCATTTATTGATATGTGTGAGATACTTGTTGTGTCATAGCCATAGAATTCCACATTTCCTGATAGTACTGACCACACAGAAAAAAACCCATTAAGCTTGATGCTATCTTAAAAATAAGCATCATTATAAAATAGCCTAGTAACATGTTATGACAGTATATAAATGTAAATCCACCAAAGTGTCATATGATCCAGATTGATAAATGAACTGACAATAAATGGGTCATTTCATAACAGGTAATGTTGTGATGCTTGATATGTTATAAACATTGTAGATAGAAAGTACCATAATGCTTATAATGTGTCAAGGTCAGAATAACCTTATCCATACCTCACATCAAGAATGGATTCTATTAGTCTGATGCAAAGTTTACCTAATTGAAGATTATTTCCCATGACTATGTTTGGAAGACACAATTATGACATTGATCTTTAACTTGAATCTCCATTTTTATTTCAGTATATAATGGCTGAGTGCCAAATGCCAACTCGACCCCAAGGTCGAGAAAGACCTCCCCGTCCGCCTCCACCAGGTGGCATACTTGGTCAGGCGAATTTTAGAAGCATGCAGAAGTGTCACGATAAGGCCTACGAGAACATAGAGAAGGGCCTGTCTCTGGACGAGCAGGGTCAGATAGACGCTGCAGTTAAGTCATACGAGGATGGGTTAAAAAACCTGTCACAAGCTCTGGACATGGATGCTGAGAAAGTTTGCGAAAAGGATGAAGACAAAGATACGGCGAAACAAATGCAGCAGAAAATGACAAAGACAAAGTTGCAGATAACGTACAGGCTGCAAACACTTCAGGCTCAAATAATGTCCGAGGTGAATAACCACACAAACGGTCACGCATCATTAGAGAGTGCAATGGACATTGAATCCCCACCATCATATGAACAAGCCATGTCTAGGACAGATTCAAACATGAGTGAGGAGGCTTTTGTTTCTATTGGTGACAGTATCATGAGTGACTCACAGAGTGGATTGGACTCGTTAGAATCAAATGCTACTGAAATATTGTCAATCTCTGATGGTGTCCAGATATTTTACATTTCTCCTGAAGGCTTTGTGAGTGCTCCTTCCTACCCCTCTGCTCTAAGAATCGCAAAGTTTAACGAGAACTCTTTGAGTGAGGGAAGTAACATACAGAGACCACCAGCCTTCCTTCAGGTCCACGACTGGTACTACCCCTTGGTGCCTGGGACCTCGCCTGCACTGAGGGCCACCAATGGGGCCTACATATTCCCCGATATGTCCTCACAACAGCAAGGTATTCCAAAAGACTTTGGATTGTTCTCATTCTAGATAAAAGCTGGCAATCAATCCTAAAGGCTAGAAATAATTTAAATATAAAAAGGTCTCCTTAAATTTTTAGAAAGGGACTGATATTTGTATGAGAGAATTATTAACTCATTTTTTTTTCAATTTCACTAAGATAATTATTGTGTAGTGAGTAGATTTATTTTTTATTTTTTGATCTATTATGTTTCTTTTTTGAATGAAGGAAGACAATGTATTAGTTCTGGTTTTTCTGATGTAACTGAGTGTAACTTTAAAAAAGAAATTATTTGTTCAAATTGTTTTATTCCTGCTTAGCTCATTTACATAGTGCATGTATTAATATTTAGAAATGAAAGGAACTTGAATTTTGAAATATCTGACAGTTCCAATCATCCAATCATAAAAAAGCAATATACCGTATTTGCCATAAATAGTACCCCTCCCCCTATAACTACCCTCCCCCTCTTTTGTTGACTGTGAAAGGAATTGGAATTATATAAACTTCTCCCAGGCCTGGTCAGTGATTTATATTACATTTGTACTTACACTTTAATGCAGAGACTTAAGTGTGATGATCATGACTGAGCTTCCTGTGAAGTTTCCAAACCTCCAGTCACACTAGTAGTGAAACAGCAGTTAAAGTTTCAGAACTTTTTCTGTATCTCACATTTTATTATCCAAATAAGCCACCCCTTAACCCAATTTTGTAAGTGCCCATTGCACTAATTACGATGATTACAGTAAGTGTGATGATTCAAGTGAACTTTTAAAGAAAACATTAAAAGAAACCCACTGATTTGATTTTGTATAGGTGCAGCTGTGGGACTTATTTTGCCTGAAAACATTTCTGGTGAGGAGAGACAAAACTTTGAGAGAACACTTGGGTCATTGACCTTACTCCAGGAGCAGCAGCCCAGCCCTGTCAGCCCCTCAGCCCCACCACTGGCAGCCACAGGGGACAGTAAGGCGGGATGGTCATCGGAGGCCACCGCAGGTGAAAGGGATCAAACAAAGGGACCACAGGAGGGGGTTGTAGGGGGCAAAACTGAACAGGAGGAAACCAGAGCAAAGACAGCTTCTGGACAAGCAGGGGAGACAACTACATCAGAGAAGATTTCCAAAGGAATAACAGTTGGTGAGTATTGTTATATATATTTTTTTATATATATTTAGCTTCTAAAATTATTTCTATTTTTGAAACTCTCCTGTGTGTCAATGATCTTAATTCAAGTTTGTTTATTCTAAAGACAAAATTCTTTACTCCATCCAGCAGTTTACACATTGTCTAGATTTTTTTGAGCAGTATCAATTGAAATCACTTGCAAGTATGTATCTCAGTACAGTAGTGTGTTGGATTCATTTCTGTGTACTTTTCAAACATTTTTGTCCATAAATATAGGGGCAAAAAACTTACAATAATTATTCAAGAATATTCCTATATTGTGATTTGATTGGCAGCTGCTGACTGGATATCTTGGGGAGTTGGAAAAGGTGCCGAGAAAACCAGTAATTTGATCAGGCTTGGATCAGAAAAAGTTAGAGAAAGGCTGAAGCCAGAGGAAAAAGCTGCGGAGATTGACCCTCGTTTACAGTCGGGTGCACGTTATGCCAGGTCAGGGGCCAATGTCGCTATCAAAGTTAGCTCATTTATAAGTAAGTCAAGGTCAATCTTTAACAAATTAATTCTGGCATAATTTGAAAATGAAAATAGAAATGATGAGCAACAACACCACTGAATCCGGTACAAAATGTAATGTTTGATTTACATCCTACGTGCTGACATGTTTCAGCCAAAGGGAGGCCGTCTTCAGAGCACAGTTATATGATGTTTGCAACTATGGTACAATGACAATAAAGGTCATGTGACTAGTACAATAGAGAATAACTGGGATGTCATCAAGTTGCTAAGAGTTACATCCTGAAAGGGTGAAATGCTTTAGCCATTTTTGATTGGTGCATAATAGAATAAGTGCTAAATAATTTCAGTGTGATGCACTAAAAGATTCATGGTAAATGTGAATGTATGAATTGTAGTATCAAAATATTTACAATGTAGCAGAGGTGATTAAAGGATCAGAAATAAGGGATAGTAAACATAAAATTAAATGTATCAAAAGGGCTCAAACAAGCAAAACTCGTAAGGTTATTGTTCTGTCTCTTAAGGAATGGAAATGGTAATAGAAAGAATATTAAGCATGATTAAATTGTCAATAAGCATGTGAGCAGTTCTAGAATGTTAGATAAGAATAAGCCCCGAAGAAGAAAAGGTCCTCGCATCAGAGAGTTCTGTAGGGTGATCCTGTGACATCAGCGATAATAATATCAAGTTGTATAGATGGTTGGTACAGTACAGTTCTGGCAGAATTTGTTCATTAATTCTTACAAAGGAGGTAGATACTGTTTATCTGCCCATTATTTCATCTGTCTATCTGTATGTAAATCCAATTTCATTAAATTTTAGTCAGTTATATATGGCAAGTGAATGACTCCTATAAAATTTCAAGGCTATAGGTGAAAGGTGAAATTCATGGGTGAAAATTTTGAATTCTGGTAGGCACACATTTTTTTCACTGTAGTTACTTCATTTCCAAATGAATTTTGATAAAACTTCATAAAATTGTCATTTATGAAAACTTAGATCCTTGTATGAGTTTGTGTTTCACAGTGACAAGGTCAAGATCATCATTACTTATATCTGAGTTTGTGTTTCACAGTGACAAGGTCAAGATCATCATTACTTATATCTGAGTTTGTGTTTCACAGTGACAAGGTCAAGATCATCATTACTTATATCTGAGTTTGTGTTTCACAGTGACAAGGTCAAGATCATCATTACTTATATCTGAGTTTGTGTTTCACAGTGACAAGGTCAAGATCATCATTACTTATATCTGAGTTTGTGTTTCACAGTGACAAGGTCAAGATCATCATTACTTATATCAAAAAACTTTGTCAGTAATCAGTTTTCCCTGCTAAATGTCCAGCATAAAGTGTAGTCCCATGAATGCTTTACCTGTTGGTAGTACATGTAGTGACTGTGTTAAGTAGTACCCTGCCTTAAGCTTAGTATTTCAGTAAGGTTGCCCTCTAAAAGTGGGCATCAGATCCACACTGTTGCTGAAAAGCAAATACACCAACATACCAACTCCAACACACATACATCAGACACATTGAGGCACATCCTTAAGATTGACAATGATGGTAAACCCTGTAAATCAGATCATTATCATCACTTTAATGATATAATTTCTGAACAGGTGCTTGTCGAGCATCATACAATAAGTAGTTTCAAATGTGTGAATGATTAAAAAAAAAGTTTTTCAATGTGTCAAATGTCACCATAAATTTGTATGCCCTGCCAAAAAATGAATTGCTGGTTAAGTTTCTATTGAGAAGATGCAAAATATTTGCTCTCTGATAGACTTTAGTACACAAGAGGGGATTTGTATTGTTCTTAATGGCTTGTTATAAGTATTATTCATTATATAACATTGTAAATTGATGTAAATGTGATGATATATTGAATAAGTCAGAAACATCAACTTATCTCTGTAGTAAACAAGCTAGGGGAGGCAACTGTGGCCGTTGCTAAGGAGGTGGCACCACATATCAGGAAACAGGGTCAGAAAATTCTTCCTAAATCTGTCACAGAAAAGTCTTCAGATGGAAAATCAAAGATTGATGATGTCATAGATGTTGCTGCAACAGGAGTTAAAGGTATGAAATTTATTAAATAAATTTACCTTGTTATAAAAATTCTCTGCTGCAAAAGTCAATGAGCCCCCTTATCTCGATTCAGAACTGGCCAGCTGTGGTATATTATGTCAGTGGCTTCTTGCACATCTATGACCAAATACTAAACAAATCATAGCCGAATCCTTTTGTTTGATTCATCCTCTTTTGCAATTAAGTGTTCATAAGCTTATATGTAGACAAATTGACGTCAAACTCCTACATAAATTACCCTTTGTGTACATACACTCCACTGGTCATTTGTCTGACAAAGGTGACATATCATTTTGGAGTATGTATCGTACTAGACATTGAACCGTCACACATACACTCTGAATTGGTTGTACTATATGAATCTTTCTGCAATCTATACTTTTCAAGCAGAAGGAATATGTTTGGGAAGTAGCTTTTATTGTGCTGATATAACATTAAATTGTATAAAATTTGTTGCAGGATTTGGAACTGTTTATATCTCCCTTGAATCAGCTGCAAAAGTGTTGGCTAGAAATATTGCTCAAGAAACCGTCCATACTGTTGACCACAAGTAAGTGACAAATCCTATGTATGGTCAGAGAAATGATTTTCGGTAAATACGCAGGATCTATGTACCTTTCTGTTTTAAAATACAGCACCTACTCTTTGGTGTAAATGGGGATCATTTGACCCATTCCATATTGAAATGCAATGAATAAACAACAAGATTAATGTACATTCTAAGATTTTTCAAATTTTTCGAAAATGTATTTTTTCTAAGAAATTGATCATTCAGGATGTGAAAGTCCAGTTTTTAACACTTTCATTGCAAACTCTCCCAATTTCAGAGTATCAAGATCCTGTTTTTAAAACAAAAAAATAGGCTCAACATGAACACCACACCAGAGACAACATAAAAATTCACTTCTTGTTCAGGTGAAAATCTAAGAAGAGCTACCATACCATGATATAGCATATTTCCTATGCTTATTTCTTGTATAAAACACAGATATATGTACTTGTATAAAACACAGATATATGTACTTGTATAGCTACATAATGAAGAGCTTAGATATTTTGTGGTGAATGTAGGTCTGTCAAATAAGTGAACAACTTTTTAAAATAACTAAACCGCAGAAATGCATAATATTGGGATTATAAGTTGTAAAATTAGGCTCACAGAGGGGTAGCGTTATGATATTTATTACTTTGTTGACCAGATATGGACAGAGTGCCAGTAAGCTGACAGAGAATACATTGTACACGATGGGAAATGTGGCCATGACAGCATACAACGTGGACCAGCTCGGTATCAAGGCCCTGGCCAAGCGGGCCGCCAAGGCGACAGGGAAGGAGGTCGTCAAGGACTTCTGCACGGCTCGATCCAACAAAGGAATGCCACAATAAAATACCCACCTTTTATTTCAGATCTGTGATAGGATTGTTGAAGGCCAGCTTTTCTAGTTCTTGTCGTCCAATTTGTTTATTATGGCACAAGAAATGTTGATCGATATGATGGACAAAATTCATTTGACTTAAAGGTCAACTCCATGCTTTCATGATGTTTCTAAGCTTGGTTTAGATATTCCCTTATTTCCAAAGCTTTTGTTATTGGGAAAATTCACTTAATGATAAATCCTTGTTAACATATGATTATTTTATGAAACTGAAGCCAGGCCCTCTAGGATCAACTGTACACGTCAAGTTTATAGGTACGTAACCGTACATGTATTGCAAATGATAAGCTCAACAAGATGCTATCACCTACCGGGGTATGTAATAAGAATTTTAACAAATTTTAGTAGGTGTTTGAGAATTAACACTATATCAGGTATAAAAATGTTTTATACTACATGTATTATCAAAGTGAATTCATAAAGTTAATTTATTATAATACTAGAGACTAATGAGCGAGTATTCAGGACTTACGAGGTACCAACAGACCGAGTGATAAGACTTTCCACTTGTTTGGTGTCAAACATGTAACATTGGTGACTTATGTTCTAGACTGATAATCAGTTCCCCTGGTTGGTCTCTATACCCAATTATTTGTTTATACATGTATATCCTGTATGATGAAAAATATAATTTGTTGTGCCATTTGAAATTTATCTATGTAGAAATGCCCTAATATAGTTAATGAGTAGTTTTACATCCATGTCACTACAGATTGGTTTGGTTATCTAGCGGACACATGAATATCTAATATTGCTAGGTATTAAGACCTTATTATAATTATTATCTGATTTTGCTTGGTACAAGTACCTTAATATATCTCATATCTGGTATGACAAGGTACAATACCCTAACACATTTCATATCCGGTATGACAAGATACAATACCCTAACACATTTCATCTCTGGTGTGACAAGGTACAATACCCTAACACATTTCATATCTGGCATGACAAGGTACAATACCCGAACACATTTCATATCTCGTATGACAAGGTACAATACCCTAACACATTTCATATTTGGTATGACAAGGTACAATACCCGAACACATTACGTATCTGATATGACAAGGTACAATACCCTAACACATTTCATATCTGGTATGACAAGATACAATACCCTAACACATTTCATATCTGGTGTGACAAGGTACAATACCCTAACACATTTCATATCTGGTATGACAAGGTACAATACCCTAACACATAACATATCCGGTATGACAAGGTACAATACCCTAACACATTTCATATCTGGTATGACAAGGTACAATACCCTAACACATTTCGTATCTGGTATGACAAGGTACAATACCCTAACACATTTCATATCTGCTTGTTTAACATCTGGTATAACTAAGTCTGGACATGTGTTTAATTCTTTGTATAAGAAAAACATCTACATAGTACCAGTTATATTGCTGTATTACAGCGGACCTTACTTCTATATCGACAATGATATATGTTACATGTTTAGTGTTAAATTGATGTTAATGAAATCAAATACAAGGATAAGGATGAAATCAAATACAAGGATAAGGATGAAATCAAATCCAAGGATAAGGATTAAATCAAATACAAGGATAAGGATTAAATCAAATACAAGGATAAGGAGGTTTATTTGTTTAGAGATTTATCTCTTTACCGGTTTGTGTCGATATTGATTGGCATTATTCTACTTATAAGAACAGATGTGTGAAATAAACTAACGACGGGATCCAGACCCACCAGGAAACAGTTATGTTGCTAATATCACCTATATACATGTGCAATAAAACCTACATTTTCAATTATTTAAAGGATTTTTTAAATTCTATAATAATTTCCAGTTCCATGATATTATATATGTGTGTATTAATCAAATACTTACTCTGTAAGGAGATCCTAATGACTTTAACATGACAAGGTTGTACTGTATATAATATTGTATTTATTTAAGTCTGCCAAGACAACCCTATTATTACCCTGGGAATTATGGTAAAAAGCATTTTCCCTTAATGTAATGCACTGTTGTGTTATTGAGGCATTACCAGGCAGTTGAATGGTTAACATGGTCTGCAGTCTTCAGGGATTACATAGTAAACACTCTGTACATCTGTGTGGCGTGTCTGTGCGCTGTAAAAGTTACATCAACATCACAATTATACCTGTTAGATGGTCATCAGTGAAGGTCAAAGGTCAAACTTATCAATATTCTGTGTATATCTTTGTTAGTTCCCATCATTTGTCTTTATTATTAGTTTAGCACTGCATATCAAAAACATTTGAATACCAATCATAAGTGTTGATGTACATTGAGGAAATAATTATAATTAAACTTAAAATTAGATTATCAATGTTGTTTGAAAATAGAACAAATCATGGTGTAAATTATTTATTCTTGTGCATAGGAAAAGGTCCTGACATAAATATAAATGTATTCTTAGTAAATTAGCTGGACTTAGTACATTGACTGGACTAATTCATTTGTTTCATCAGAGCATTGAAGTCCATCCGTGTTCAGTGATGTGATAGTATGTTGATCCAGTTGCCTCCCCTTGTCTACATCAGAACAGAAAAATGATTACCTATAGTTCTAGAGAATAGCAGCACACAAAGCGATGGTTCTTACATGTTACAATCATAAAAGTCTCACCAGAGACTTAAATATGGCTGTATATTAGATTTATATTTAAGTTCTGTATCCTGTCTGGTTATCGAGTGTAATCACCGGAAGACCACTGACTATAGTACAGTACTGGTCTAAAATTACTTCAGTACTGGGCTTAAAAACATGTAGTACTGATGAACAATGTGTAGCACCAGTCTGAACATCATGCAGTATTTAATAGTTGTGACACCTTCTACACACAACTGTATGTAAGTAAAAAGTCGTTTGTATAAGGATTACATCAACTTTGATAAGTACTTAAAACTTTGATATTACAATAGTGCATGGCTACTACCTAGTATATTATTGTGGGACTGCTAGAAGTTACATTCCACCTAATATTTACACATGAATGATTGTAAATTCCATTTGTTCACAAATAAACTTGAACACCGTTGACCAGAAACCTCATTTTGTAGAGGGAATCTCTTCAAATTTAGTTTCTGCATTTTAATACCTATGCGTTATTTTTCTTCATCCCGTTTTTAATTGTTGCCTGGTAACAAACCCTTGTACCAAGTACTATCTACACATGTCAAGGTAATACTCGATCTATGTTGTAAATACAGTGTTGTGTTTGTGGTCATAGCTCATATGGCAGAACATAAATGTCTAAACATCAATGTTTGGTTTAGTGGTCGGGCGCCATGCTATTTTCCTCTATTTTGTCTATTTAAATCGTTGTCAGACAAAGGATGTGACTGTTTAGTTGTCGAGATTGTCTATAACATGTTTACTGTGATAAATAAAATTATTGTTGGCTTATAAACTATTTACATCTGTTATCTTTTCTGTACCAATCAAGACCTCCACGGTTAAAATGCCATGGGTTGTGTTATGGTAATTTTACTCTTATTAATATTTTGAAAGATATCCTTTTGGTGATTAAACACCAAAATTTTGTGTATCCATCTATTGATATTTGTATAATATTTAGATGAAAATTGACCAATAGGTCTAGTGGATAGTCGAGTTATCTGATACAGGGGAGATAAGTACATTACGCTCTGGCAACATCCTGTGTTTTTCTTCCAAAATTTCATGATCAGTCAGATAAATTATGTTCCAATCCACGTTTTTCATAAAGTATTTTTTTTTAATAATGAGTAGAAAATAATTTATAAGTTTTTTTATCGATAGCTACATAAAAATCAGTGCCATATTGCACCACTTCAAGGGAGATAAATCTTGCAATCTTACCAGTCTTCCCTATATCTGGCTGCAATAGCACAATTACTTGTTAATTTATCTGAGTTTAACAAATATATAAGGAAAGACACAACATGTATACAAATAAATGTTATTAGAGATTTTCACTTTTGTTAAATTTTCTAACCGAAATCTGTAATAGTACCTCTCCACCTCTATCACATCTAAACAGGAAGTGCCTTTGGAAAATATTAACCTATGAAATTTGTTTTCTGTTGACTGTCTTTATGTACTTCATACATTGAAACTTTGTTAATCTCCCTGGCTGGATACAAATATATCAAGGATGGAATTACATTGTAGAGATATTCTTGAATTAATGCATTCAGTTTGTTATGCGAGTGTTTTCCCCAGAAACAAGTGTTTTGATGCAAGATGTTCCATATATCAATTGTTCTGTGGGTGAACTTTTTCAGGATATTGGTGTCCAGAGAAGAAGTTCCATTAGAAATCTGGGTTGAACTTTTCCGCAACCGAGTCCTAGGTGTCAACCTCTGAAACCTCCAGTGAGGGAGAAAGTCTGAAATACGACTGAAACTGCTTTGCTCAATTTATCTTTGTTTTTATGCATCAAAAAAACTCCAAATAGCATTCATTTGATTCAAACACACCTGTTATGATCATTACACACCTTCTGCAGTAACCAGGAGATCACTTGACCACAGAATGTAGATTTGGAGTTTCGGTGAGTTTGCATGGACTTGAATCAGGAAGTTTCAAGGGAGATTGGTAAATTTTGGTCAAAAGGAGTCTCCCTCCCAATGAGAGAGGGTTGACAGCTATACCCTCCTAATGAGGGAGGGTTGACAGCTATACCCTCCTAATGAGGGAGGGCCGACAGCTATACCCTCCTAATGAGGGAGGGTTGACAGCTATACCCTCCTAATGAGGGAGGTTTGACAGCTATACCCTCCTAATGAGGGAGGTTTGACAGCTATACTGAGTTACAATCATTTCATTCACACTACACATTACACTCATCAACAGTAACAGATGACAAAACAAAGTTTATATATTTATATTTAGTTTTTTAATTTTTCATATAAAAATCTTGACACGTTGATCAATCTGACCTGATATGTGACGTAATATTGCTAGAGCGATGGTACATGTATACATATTTGGTAAATGTTAGGGACCAACATAAACACAACGTCAGACATTCCGATCCTTAGAAACGTAGGTCTATAGAAATAAACATAGGTCTATAGAAACACTGGTTCGAAAAATCACAGCTGATATACACAAACCTTCTGGTAAATGTTGATAAAACTTCACATGTTATACAATTTACAATATTAAAGCAAGACAAATTTTCAGTGGAAAAAAAATGCCAATATTTCTTAAATAAGATCTTATAAAACTGAACAAACTAAATAACGTCTGTTCTGATTTTGGGAAATGATGCAAATCAAAACTTTGGACACTAAAGGTAAAATAATATTGATCTTTGGAAAGAATATGAATTCAAGTACGTGGAAATAGAAAAATCCTTTTTAGTTTAATGCTGTATACTGATGGTAACATTATAAAAGACTGGAGACAACAATAAAATGTAATTAAGTTTTGATTTTTGTGAGCAATATCATGATTGGAGCGTTGCTCCTCAGCAGTATGACATGCCAGTGTAGGTACAGCAGGTCGTTTTGATTAATAAGTTAATATACACTTCAACACATTAGCATGTCTATCAGATGGTGGAAACTTACAAAATACATTTCAGAATAGAAAAAAAACACCAAGGAATTTGTTATATTTCCGAAAAACTGAGCTATCAGAAACTGTAAAGCAACACTGATCAAAGAAACAGCCTTGCTTACTTAAAACAGACCATCTTAAGGGAAATTCAGGTAAGAGCCCTGACATGAGATTTCAGCCTCACACTCATGAGATCCAGGTAATGTAAGGGGACCCCCCAAATGAGATTTCAGCCAAGTCCTCAATTGGAATACCTGCTAAAACTTCCAATGGGATTTCAGCTAAGCTGTCTCCTCAAATGAAATCCCAGCTGAGGTGACCAAACACAGAATTTTAACTTAACTGACCACTTTGTTAGTCCAGCTGAACAGTAAGTGGATAATGTTAGGATGGAATGTAAACTTGATGGTTTTGCTCCTTGGCTATTTCAGAAAGACTTGGACCTGTTATAGTACAGACTTCCAAATCAACTGCTGTGAATCTCGGACAACATACACGCTGTTCACTGCAACGACACCCAAATCACAGCTTAGATGCAAACACTCAACTGACACAGCACTTCCACTCAATCTTAGTCACATAAACTCTTTTAACAGTCATCTTATGACCAATACATATGTTAAAGTTTCTTTTTTTCACAAATCACTCTCAAATAAACACGTCAAGGAATTCTATGAAGCTGATGTAAAAAATATACCCAAAGTCAAAAGATTTATGATTTGGACTCAATATCGGCATTAAATCCATTAAATTAAATATTCATTTCTGAATGATTTTGACCATGATAGATTGATCTGCTTTCAACGTTACCTACCAGTTTGATACTTTGACATTTCCTGACAAAAAGAAATTAACTTTAATCAAGGAGAAGAATGGAATCAACAGTTTTAAGGGAGATATTTGGATAAAGTTCTGAGCCTGTATTCATGAAAAATTCAAATCCTTGTTCCAGTAAAATAATTCTTCAAATTGCACATTTTTACAATTATTTGGAGGACCTTTGGAGATACTGCATTCCAATGTCTTCACTTAACTTCTTGACCGCTACATTATTTCAGCAAGTTACAATAAAGTGAGTTTGAGCCTAGAATTTGTGCCTGAGCAATACTGGATTAATAAATACAGGCCCAGGGTAATACTGGGTATTCTGTGATACTGTAGACCAAGTCTACAACTCACCATTACAAAACTTCAACTTAGAAAAGAATTCTTCATACTAATACTCTCAGAAAAATAATTTGCAGCACACTGATGTGTATACAATGTAAACAATGTTATAATAGATGTTTCATACACAAATTCATTTGCACCAAGTCTGATACATTCTCACTCCGTCCATTTTCTCAGACAAATAAAAACAATTAGTTCAATATTACATACACTTCTTACAAATGTCTATGTACAAATTTCTTTTTCCTTTACATCATAAAATTGACTCAGGAAACCGAATTCTGAATTTACAAATTTATAAAAATGTTCATGCAAATGTAATACATATTTGCATAATTGATTTGAAAACATAATAAGAATAATAATGCAATGCTTTATAGTAAAGGGAGGAAACTCCTACCTCACAATGAAGGGCTATAATTCATAAATTAGACAAACATCTAGTGACCTGAGGGGTTATACATATTCCTCTTCCTCCTGGTGAACTTCGATCTCTGGGGATCCGTCTAGATTGTCACCATCCGGGAGGGATGCTATGTCACGAAACACACCTACTAACTTCTCAAAACTTGGGCCCCAATTTAAGAATTCATCCCAGTTAAATGTACCATTGATTGGCTTAGCACCATTTGCGGGACCATCCTCCGAGGACCCGAAGGAATCACCATTTGAAGTCCGTCCATCTGATATGAACTTTCTATGATTATTATTATTGTGAGAGTTATAATCCTGATTCTCATTTTCCACCTCTGCCAGTTTTGATAAGATCAAGTTTGATGAATCAAAGTCATTTCGAGGCCTTTCATTCTCATACTCAAACTCGGAGCATGTGAACGAGTCATTTGCACTTTCCTCGGAGCTTGAGTCCGGGGCTTCTAACACAGAACTGTTGTGTATGTAGGGTGGGTGGTGTCCATGACTTGCACTAGACGAAGACACCATTTCCACCATGCTCTCGGGACTAGGTGGCTGGGGACGGGTATTAAGTTTTTTAACTTCCCCATATGTGAGGCCCTTAACCTGGCGTGGCTGTGGAGGCTGCACCTTGACAGGGTTGCCCCTGAGCTGGGAGGGGTGGCCCTGAGGAAGAGATGGAGGACGAGCCACTGAGGAACTGGAACTGTGACTATGATGACTGGCAAGACTGTGCTCAGAGTCTGTCCGACTGTGATGTACGTGGTCAGACAGTGGTGTCCCCCGTACATTAGGGTTGGTCAAGGGACTGTACCTCATGTGTGGTGACTGCCTAGAAAGGTGGTTCATGGGGCTGTTCCTGGCCCCTTGTACCGCGGGACTATTGCATGCTGAATTGTGTAGTTGAGAGGGGTCCAGCAGAGCAGGACTGTGGGTCATTCCTTGACGACCATAAGGAGATGGACTCTCCCTGATGGGCGCGGAGCTGCGGCCGTGCCCAGGCACGGTCTGAGGACTGGGACCATGCCTAGAGGAATGTTTATTGTGAGGTTTATTGTGTATATTGTTTAGGTGGGAGTGATGTGGGTAAGGATGTTTGTTTACCCCACGGTAATCACGATAATGTGCCACCACATCAATGTCTGACGGAGCAATACTACTGGCATTGTCTATATCGTAATGCTCCGGGATGTCCTCACTTGTCATATGCATGTTGATAGCATCACCATTGTCTATAATAACAGTTCCGTCATCAATCTCCAGAGGAAATTGTTTGCGATGCTGCCTGTCTGAGCTTATGATATCAGGCCTGTTGGGCTGATTGCGTCTTGCAGTGAGTCCCTGATCAATGTGGGAGCTGATGAAATCCTCCTCTGTTGGGTGGTCGCCGTACCCAGAGTCCTGATGACTATGTGCACTGTTGTCGGTGAAATTCTTATTCACATGAGCATTGCCATTCATTTTGGCATTTCCCGATTTTGATTTATTCTGTTGCCGTCGTCTGATACGACAGAAGATAAACACAGCCACGATCACAATAATGAGAACTCCAAAGAATGCTATCACCACAATAACACCAATGCCGATTCCAGCAGCATCATCAACAGTGGGACCACATTGTACTTCCTCCCCTACTGGGGTACACGCACGATCTCCACACGGTGAGTCGGAGCAAAGAGCAGAACATCCGTTCTCTACACCTGAGGAAGGTACCACAACAAATCGGTCAGTTGTACCATTGAGTGTGATCGGTTGATTGTCCAGACGGAATACAGAAATACAGCCGCCAAAACCTGGTTAATGAAGAGAAGAGCTTGATTAGGACAAACTTGGACAAGATATTTACGCTTACATAAAGGTGCATTCTAAACGTCGGTGACTATATGTATATGTATATGGTACATGTTTAATAGGATCTTATGTCCCAAAAAACAAACCATAATAAAAAGACAATTCTTGGTGTATTGATAAATGATCAATATTTTACTCAGAGGCTGAATATATATTCGTATTTAATAACAAATATTTACCCCATCTATGAGTACAACTGTTACTGATCAAGAAACCATGAATATCAATACATGCATCCTTACATAGGATTTGATTTTAAAATGTCATTAATTACAAGTGATATATTACTACACAGATTCTCTTAAAATATTTCAGGCTTTTTCTTGGTTGAATGCTTTTTAAAAAAACATTGGTCTTTAACAGTAAAATATTTCACAGTTATATAATGTATCTCTCTAAGGTTTTATATTATCGGGACAGCATACCTTGTCGACTGACATCTCCATTAGATGAGGAAGATGAAGGATCACCTCCTAGGGCTAAAGTGGTCACTTTAGGGTCAGAGAACAGGAAGGCAGAGGTCAAATCCTTGGTAGTTCCTGGGGAACCCTGTACGGTCAGACTGACCTGTGTACCTACAGTATATAAAATAAACCATTAACTGACCATACATTTAGAAAAATAATAATGATCACCAACTTAAAATGATGAAACTGATCCTACACGGCTGAATTCAGTTCAGGATATTTTCTTGGGCTGTTAAATCTGTGATAGTTATTTCTTGTGAAGATTTAAATTTACAAAGGAAACAACAGAAATGTATAAATGAATGTACAGAAGCTGTAACCTTGCCTGTTTGTGCAGTTTTTACCTGATGATTGACCTATTGGTGTTTACCTGTGACAGAGATGGTGACGTTGTACCAGTTACCATCGGATACCTGGACAGACAATAGTTGTACTGTCTGTATTCCCTGCTTCAGTATACTGTACTGCAGTCTGCCTTCTATTACCTGGTAGACAAATAATCATTAACGTGAATCAACATTTCTTAGAATGACTGTAACTTATTCCTATGTTCAATGTCTAGTGTTATTATGATCTTGATCAACCCAGAGATACCTCAATTATCCATTATTGTTTTCCACAAATTTCAGATTATTATCAGAAGATTCGCTCAGTTTTCGGAGCTGAGGTATAAGTAGATTTGTCTATGCCTGTCTCTGTTCCAGTTGTTGTCTTTCCTTCATTTCCTTACAATACGGTTACTATGACTTTACATCATTTACTTATTTGATTTCCATGCCATAATACATGTGCACATTTATACAATTTTCTGATGAAGATACAATTTTATGTCATTTCTTTGCCTGATTACATTAACTTGTGATAATAAATATCTATGTTATTTCCTTGTCATTAAAATCTTTACCTGCTATAAATATTGTACATTTTATCATACATTGTATCTTGACCATATGTAAGATGAGCTTAATGCTCAATATCCTATCAAGAATAAATAAAGCCTTTATTATTATTATTATAATTATAACGAATTTCTATTTTGACAACAACACTTACAGATAGAAGGGCGCTATAGTCCGAGTTCTGAGAGGCATAGAACAGGAGACCATTTTGAGCTGTAGTGCGGAATCTGATGAACACACTGGAAGTGTCAGTGGCCCGCCTCTTCCTGTTGGTTGCCGTGCCAACGACGCTGTCCCTATAGTAACTTTCCCTCTGTGTGAATTGTACAATTGTGTTGGCACCAAATCCAAGTGGTTTTACTTCTGAAACAGCAAAAACAAAAAACATCATTAATGCTGTAATTCACAACATTCAAAGTATGAAATCACTGTACTCTTACAGCTAAACCCAGGAAAAGATTTTGAATTCTCAACAATGTAAATGACAATGCTTGATCATCTTTGACCAACTCACCAATTTGACAAAAAGTCCCACTGTATTTCTCCGGACACCGACAACGGGCCGTGCTCCATTCGTCCACACAAACACCACCATTGCTGCAGACAATACCTGTACACACACTCTTCCCTTCTGACCTTGGGCAAGTGTCCTTGACCTTCACCTTGGCAAGGTAGCCCGAACGTGTTATCAGGTCACTGTCATTGCAGTAGAAGTTCTTTATGCAGCCAATGAAATCGTGTGTAACAATTTGGTTTCGACTGGTGATTTCTGTGATGTCTCCAATTCCACCAATACTCAACTCCCCGCCGAGATACAGGTTCCTGTAAACAGAGGTACACACTGTTATAAAATGATAGACTATCGCCTACTAACGGGTTAAAGCCTTGATCAGAATGTTAAATGGTTTGGTTATAGAAAAGTATACTTTCCAGGTATCCTTATTTGATTTATTTATCGCTNGGGAAGGGGGCTGAACACAGAACAGCTTTAACTATGGAAGCTGAGACTTTTATTTTGTCAAAAGGGTGTCTTGTAATATTTTTATATAATGTTTCAGAGGAAATAAGGAGTGTCCCTCCAAAACCAGCAAGTCTGTGTGTAGGTAATGATATAGCCAAATAAAAATGATTTTATTTGGCTAGATGTCTATATAACCATTAAAATCCTGATAGGGTAAGTCTTTCTATCTGTAAGTGATCCCATGTAACCAAGTCAATGATGTAGGTATTTGTTTTGATGCAATAAGAATGCCTTAAATATATTTTGTGACCTACTTTATAACATACACCAAACAATGTGTGTCTTCTGTACTCTTTGTCACGACAAAAATACAGAGAGATGGTACACAACACACACAGGTCACAACTAATTATTTAAACTCCTTAATATTTCTTCAAACTCTATGATGGAGGACATTGTACATCCTGTTGTAAATAACACCATTAACTCGACCCGGTCTTCCTATAATACATCTACACTGGTAACTAAATCCCTAAATCCAGGCACACATCAAATTTCATGCCAACAGATGAAACATCCACCGCATAGTCATGTGATCCATGTCACAAAAACTCAAGGCAGCCTTTCAATTGTACCCACACACATATAACCATGTACCCTAACACATATAACCGTATATGATATTTTATGCAGAGGAAATACTTTTAATGACGAATTCTGTAGACTGTGTAACTAGAGAGCGTAAATATGGTAGCAGACAGTATCACACGGGTTTATAAGTGGTACAATCACTACAATGTGCGTGCATTCCACCATTAATCGGGTTGGCCGTCTTACAGAATCGCTCAGGCGTGTCTACAGCTTCCATTCACAGACAGATACAATGTAACAGTAATCAAGTTTTTAAACTCCTATATAAAGTTTTGGGTTACATGTTCCTTGTGAGATTAAAGGACAATCAAACAGCCCACTATCTGGCTACAAGTACAAACGTTTTGTCCTTCTCCATCGCTCCATTTTATAGCGTCCATTTTGTCATTACGTTGAATAAGATATCTAACAAATTCTGATGGAAACAATTCAACTACTGTTACTGGGTTGTGTCAATTCTTGATTGTTTTTCACCAAAACGAACGGAGCATATTTTACTATGTGACATTTTGTTGTTGTGATTGTTGAATTCATTTGTCAGTATATATATAATCCCAAATCTTTTGTTGCTTTTAAATGAATTGTTTGTTTTACTTTGATAATTTTCTGCCAAGGTACAGAATTACTCCTTGCCTTTTCAAAACTTGGTCCCAAGGAGGCAATTTCAAGGAGGTCATTTTTGGTATTTTCCTCTTAATATCACATGTTCCCCTTAATATCATGTGTTCCTCTTAATATCATGCATCATTTGTCACATTAAAATGTGATTTAAACAGAAACACTACTGTGGTCCGACTTATATTTAACAATTATTTGGTATCCTCTGTAATTTTGTTACTTAAATTGTACACACTAAAAATGTGTTCCCGAAGAAAGCTGTCTGTTATAGAACGGTTTCTCTGGCTGTTAGGTACGTACCCTGCGTTCTGCGAGTCGTAACCGTGGCAGAAGGAATTACCGTCCTCACATGACTGACATTCCTCTCCATTGGCTGGGCAGTCTTGGACATGGACATCCAATCTCTGTCAAAATAGAATAAAATAATAATGTAAGTTTCATAAAAACAAGTAAAATTTACTTTACAGAGAAAATAATGAAATCCAATAATATATCAAGCCCTGGCCTAGACTCCAATTACAATGCATGCTGTTTTCCACCTTTCAGAGAGAAAAAAACACTTCGTAATCAACAAAATTATTTCTTTCAGAAATATATTATGTAGGTGATTTTATTACATTAGATACATGAACAGGTATTGTAAGATATAACTATTTGTTTAACAATTATTTACTTAGATGTAGGAATTTCCAGTCTGATACATGTTGTTTCTATAGATTTTACTGACCTGCCCCGCTCTTGTGACCTTGACCCTGAACCACTGGCCTGTTGACACATTCTTGTTGACCTTGACCTTGATGGTTTGTGACGTTGATGTGCCGATGTTAAAGGAGAATTGTATAAAGCCTCCAATGATTTCCAGAGCCACAAACTTGTTGTTGGTGACAGCCGGGTTGTACAGGAGAAGGGCGTTAGATCTTAGGGTGGAAAACGTCACATCTATCAGCTTGTTGTACTGGACAGATGAAAAGGAGAACTTCATGTAGGAACCCTCCTCAAAGCCAACACTGGTGGACTCACAGCTGTCTCCCCAGTAGGTAAAAGGACAATCACATACCCGGCCTTCCTGCTGGTTCCTACATGTGCCTCCATTCCTACAAGGTGTATTCTTGCAGTGGTCCTGTCCGATCTCGCAGTGATCCCCATAGAAACCATCAGGACACCGACAAGAGTACGAGCCAGGACTCTCTACACACTGACCTCCATTCAAGCAGGGTTTGCTGTTACACTCTGGCACATCTGAGGCACAGTATGTACCGGTCCAGCCAGGAACACAGGCACACACAGGGTTACCAAAGTTATCATTGACACAGGTACCGGCGTTCTGACAGTAATCACCGCCACACTTCTCCACGGTCTGGGTACAGGTGTCCCCAGACATGTTAGGTGGACAGATACAGTAGTACCCTAGGGTCAGGCTAGGGGAGGTAATCACCTGGTAGCTGGAATCAGCCACTGATGCTCCAGTACCAACAGCAATCTGGTTCACACATTTTCCACCTTGATCACTTGCACAGGTTGTTGAACCACACACCGAGTATCCCACTGTTGTTATAGAGATACCCGCGTCTGCTTCTATCTTAGCAAGGTTGTTGGCTATCTTGTCCTTGAGGATGTCAGCCAGAACGTAGCTACCATCTGACCTCTGTATGGCCACGAACACCAGCATGTCATCACCCAGTGAGGTCAGGTGGAACATCAGCACAGTGTCACCCACAGACAGCTGTGACAGCGAGGTGAGAAACAGAGTGTAGGAATTCTCCAGGAACGATCGAGGCGTGATGTCTTCAATCCTTATAATCACTGTGTTCTGTAGAGTGTTGTTGTCAATGGCAACCATGTTGACACTCACTGTATAGTTGGCGTTGGGAGAATTTAAACCATCTGATCCCGTCACATCTAATGTATACCTTGATGCAGTTGGTTTGTTTCTTATCCTGAGGTCACACGATTCTGATGGAATCTCGAAGATACTGTTGCCATCACTTTGTAACCAACACTGGTACTGGCCAATGGTGTCTCTGTCCAAGGGGTGCACATCAGCAACGGGCATAATCGGGTAGTCTCCGTCCATCACCGCAATCTGTACCGCCATGTTCCTAGGCAACGGGGACTCGTCATTCACATCCTCCACAATCACATGGAAAGTCAAGGTCGCCGACAGCTTGTTCAATATACCAGACTCAGACACAACTACAGGAATGCTGAAGTCGAGATTTTGTTCCCGATCAATGGCAGCCTTGGTTTGGATGAGACCCGTGGTGGGAGATATAGAGAAGTTGTAGTCGTCCCCAGCAACAGTCTTGTACGTGTACGACCCAGAGTTGGGCGGCAGATCCTTGTCGAAGGTGTGACTCAGCAGCATCATGACCGATGACCCTATCGCACTGTTTTCTCGAATGTACCCCACCGGCATGACTGGGTCGAAGTATGGTGCATTATCATTGATATCCTCCAGCGTTATCTGCACAGTGGCCGAACCTGTAAAACAAAAAGCCAACATTTAATCCTCAATAAAACATAAATTGTTATCTCCTATATATTTCTTAACGAATTGGGATAGAACTATTTACTGAAAATCCAGATACAAGTTATCTGAGGCTATTACCTAGTAATGAAACCGAAATTGCTAAATCTGAAGACTTCAGCTCTAACTTTCAGTCAAGAGAAACCTGGTTTCATATTGCACCATAAGGTGGCAAACCAAATATAATATATATGTCTCATGGTAATTCTGTTCTACTTAATCAGCAGTTACACTGTTTATACTTGAAAACCAATGGATTACAAGAAAGTGTACTGCCAAGTACTTATATGAAACTGACCTGTTTGAGGTGGCACGCCCGAGTCGACAGCACCAACGGTGATGTTGTACATGGCGTCTACCTCTCTGTCAAGGTTTCCTGAACCTGATGTTCTCACCATTCCTGTCACTCTGTCAACCACGAATGCATCATTAAGGTTTCCACCCAGAATGGTATAGTAGAACTGTGGGTCAGATTGCTTGTTGTCGTTGTCAATGGCGAAAACTTGTGTAACACTGACACCCCCTCCGGAACCTTCCTTCACGCTCGCTCTGTACACACTCTCGTTAAATACAGGGGCGTCGTTAGCATCAGTGACTTTGATGGTCACAGTACATTGGTCAGTATCGTTACCCTGGACACTGCCCCAGTTCTTTGCCAGAACTTTGAGGTCAATCTGAGGAGAGCTCTCATAGTCGGGGCGGCCGGACACGGTGATAAGGCCGGAGCTGTAGTTAATTTTGAAGCCTTTGGTATTGCTAGAGCCGATCAGGTAATAGTACACCACGCCATCCTCTCCTTGATCGTTGTCGTTGGCATGCACGCTGCCAACGGGCGAACCATCTGCCACCGACTCAGTGATAGTAAAGGAGTATTCATTTTGCATAAACTGTGGGAAGTACTCATTGACCCCGGTCAGGTGAATATGAATGTTTGTGGAGCCTTTCTTTGTGGTGCCGGGGTTGATGGCCATTACAGTGACAGTGTACAATGACTGCGACTCATAGTCTAGCTGGCCCTGTGATCGAATGATTCCTGTCTTTGACTCGATGCTGAAGCGACTAGTGTCGTCAAGGTAATATTCGATGTCTGCATGAATTCCGGTATCAGCATCTGTTGCAGTCACCTTGATCACTCTCTCACCGCTGGGAGAGTTTTCGGGGATGTAAGCATCATATTGTGTCTGGTTAAACACTGGAACCTGGTCATTAACGTCTCTCACAAACACAGTAAATGTCCTAGAAATCTCCTTGTACAGTAGGCCCTGATCGCGTACAGTGATGTTGAGGTAGTGTGTCATTGTCGTTTCATAGTCCAAGGCTTTCTCTATGGTTAGGGCACCGTTCACACTGTTGAGAGCAAACAAGTTGTCAGGATTACCGCTGGCAATGCTGTACTGTACTCGCCCATTAGGTCCTGTCACGTCTGCATCTGTGGCAGATATATTTGCAATCTCTCGGCCAATCGCCATGTTTTCATCAACAGTGACCTCAAACACGGTTGTGACAAACACAGGTGCATGCAGATTGACCCCTGTGATGCGCAGCCTCACTGTGGTGACAGACGACATGACGGGAGTTCCCTTGTCACGTGCCTCCACCATGAGAATAAAGTCAGCGTCCTGTTTATCAGCATCCAAGACGGCTGCCACAGTTATGAACCCTACAAAACAGACAATTCCTTGTTTAAACTTCAGTGATTCCTCAATTCAATAATGTTCAAGTTTCATAGTTTCACATATTAAACAAAATTAGTCATGAATTTTAAGTTTTTTTATAAAAAGATACCAAGACATTACCAACAACTTTACCTGAAGTTCTACATTGTAATAATGGCAGCTTTATCAACTGAAGCTATATAGCTGAATAAAGCCTTACCTGTAGTTGTATCCACCGTGAAGTAGCCAGATCCATTGCCAGATACCATGAAGAACTCTACCTCTGCGTTGACCCCGACATCGAGGCTATCCGTGGCCTTGACCTGGAGAATTCTTGCTCCATGTCCCACGGTAACAGGCACTGCCGAGAAGTAACTACTCTTTTCAAATATTGGGGCATGGTCATTGGCATCCAGTACGTTGATCTTGACCATCGTCTCCGAGGACAGTGGAGGAGTTCCTAGGTCTGTTGCTATGACAACCACTTCCAGGACATTGGCATGGGTGGCAGTGATATTCTGTTGATACACAAGTTCACGCTTGGAGGAGAGACCTCCATTGGTGGGGTGGATGACCACAGCCTTGGACGGGTACTTGAGTGTGTAATAAACCTCGTTGTTTGGAGAAGTACGGTCAGCATCCAGAGCTGTCACTGTTCCGATCGGAGTTCCAGAGGGCTGACGCTCGGGGAAAGTAAATGTTGGATTCTGGGGTTGGAAGATGGGAATCTTATCATTGACGTCCTTCAGATATATAATGACTTTGCTCACAACATCATTGTAGCCGTCTGTGGCCTTGACATCCAACATATAAAATGTGGATGTTATATCTTCAAGGTCAAGTGCACTGTTAGAGGAAATGTTGCCACTCAATGCATCAATAGTGAATTTGTCGTGTGTCATGGTGTATGAAACGTTTGCGTTGATGCCAATATCAGCATCTACAGTGGTCACCTGTAGGATAAACACTCCGACGTCAATGTCCTCGTTAATCGTGGCACTGAACTGACGTTTAAACACAGGTGGGTTGTCATTCTGATCCAAGATGGTGATTCTCACAGTGGTTGAACCTGTATTGGATGAGGAACCCTACAAAAGACAAAAATAATAGTTTTGATGCTGAACCTAGATCACAAATCAAAAGAGTTGAAAACGAGCCATCATCCTATTCCATGAATCCATGTATTTCTAAATTTTAAAAGTCATGTCAATAACTTATGGTTGTAAACATATTGATGCCAGAATAACACACAAAACGAATCTTCCTTTGTTTCCAGTTCCGTTTAACTCATTCACCCCTGAAATTTCATAATGAACTATTCCAACCTTTGAATGGGAAGAGTTCAAATCTGTCTTAAGGGTAAATGAGTTAATTTAAAATAATTCTTTTCAATTTTCGAAATGTAAATCTTTATTTAGTCATTGTTAGAATTATCAGACATTATTTAACACTTACGTGGTCCACAGCGTAGATGATGAGATTGACGGTGTCTGTGACCTCGCGATCCAGCGTAGTCCGTGTACGAATGACACCGGTAACAGTATCAATGGTGAAGTTGTTGTGGGGATCACCGTCTTGTATCGAGTAGGTTATCCGTCCATTTTCACCATCATCAGCATCAGAGGCCGAGACCTTGATGACTGATGTAATGGTAGGCTGGTTTTCAGAAATCGTGTGAGAGTAAAGCATATAGCTGAAGCGTGGTGTGTTGTCGTTGAGGTCTGTGACGTCAACATTGATGGCTGCGTAAGATGACAAGGTAGGATTCCCTGTAACACGCGCCTCCACCCACAACTGGAAGTTTGACGCTATTTCGTAGTCTACCTGATTACCAACTGTGATGTCACCTGTCTGATCGTTGATGGTGAACGTGTTCGCAACGTTGCCCCCAGCGATGTGGTAGAAGATGTTTCTCCCGATCGGAGAGGCGGCGGAGACGGAGGTAAGTGGGAAGCCCATAACAACATTCTCATTGATACGCAGGTTATCAGGCACGTTGTTAAATGTTGGTTTGTCGCTGTTTGCAGAAGCCACCGTCACTTCAATGTTCACTGAGGACTTCCTACTCTCACTCCCCTTGTCAGAGGCCTCCACAGAACAGGAGTACCGGGCACCAGTAAGTGTGATAGCCTGCGCCGCAGTGATAATACCCCGGTCAGCGTCTATCACAAACCTATCGGCATTAGTCCCAGTCAGTCGGTAGGTGACCCGTCCATTTGAACTGGTGTCTTGGTCCACTGCAGTTACTCCTAACACAAAACCACCTGTAACACAAAGGTACATCACAGTGGTCAGTATCAATATCTTACTTGTAATGTGGAAAAACAAAAAGGTCCTGGTCTCTCCTTTGACACTTGAATGTTTTCTCATTCAATCAAAAGAAATAAGGTTCACAAACAAGAACCAGTATTACACAAGTGACTAAATTGGAGAAAAAGAAAAAAACATCTGGAATGCTGATCCATTCTAGAAGTTACATTAGAAGCACCATCTATGCACTCCTAAGATATTATATATGTAATGTAATCCTTACCTGCGGTTGTTGGATTGTTGACCACCTGAGTGTAGGTAGGCCGTAGGAACATCGGATCATTATCGTTGACATCATCTACATATATGACAATATCAGCCATGGTAAAGTGTGGCTGGAATCCACCATCTGACGCGATGACCTTGAGGTTGTATTGGTCAAGGACGTGTCCAGTGGTGGGGTCAACTTCCTCTCGGTCTAGGGCCTGTGTGGTGGACACCACTCCAGTGGCAGGATTCACCATAAACTTGTTCTCAATGTTGTTCTCAAGTCGATACCTGTAACATTAGAAATACAAACAATTATACACCTGATTAAGATCTTTCTATTTTGCTATACACAAGAAAACAGGAAGCACGGTAGTCTAGTGGTAGGTTGCCGGGCTCGTGACCGAAGGGTTGTGGGTTCGAGCCACGGCACAGCACTGTGTTGTATCTTTGAGCAAGATAATTTACTCTGCTTGTTTCAGTCTACTCAGCTGTAAATGAGTACGTGGTTGGGCATTGCTAGAAATGTTGAATGCTAGCTGTGAGCTCCGAAATGGCAGCACCGGCTGTATGCTCCCCAGGCAGTTGAGAAAGATGTTGGCTGTTTGCAAAGGCCCTATAACCACGGATAATAATTTGTGAACTGCTTTGAGATGACCTACGAACTAGGTTGTGATAAAGCGATATATATAAGAACCTCCAATTATTATTAATTATTATTATTAAAACATATAACAATAATCTTCATTTTTTATTTGACATACTCTTCAGCTTTAAAAAGGAGCTCAATATTTCTTTGTTTTCATACCAAAAACAAATTAACTGGGCTTTGATTTCACAATGCCGTACACATCATACACAGGACACCTGCTCATTACGAGCTTTGATGGGTTGAGGATTGTTGATAATTTCAAGGTATGATTTCTAATGAGAAATAAAACACTGCTGATTTCTTTCTGTACACATTCAATTTGAAAGTCACCAATAGTAAAAACTTAACATTAGATATACCACAAAAAAATGTTCATATACCTTGCACTCCATATCTTCACATATGATTGATTGCAAGTCTAAGTTATGGCATCATTGAGATGGAAAAAATGAAATTTAATTATAGATAACAAATACTTCAAAATGAAAATGCACTGTCACTACTCAAACTATTAAGTTCAAGGTCACTGAAAAAAAGGTCTCCAAACAATAGATGTACGTGATCTAAATGCAAATGGTGCACATGGTGAAAATCCCATACATAAACTGCATGCATGGTAAACATTTGGACAACTTTGAGTGGATCTCGGTCAGTGAGAAACTTGACACTAGAATAAAGTCTCAAATTGACTGTGCACTTACGGGTTGTCAATCTCGACTAAGCATTATGAGGTGGGTGATCCAGACTATGGTACATCTGAACAATCCCACAGACATACTTATGATCGTTAGTTTTATCATCCTGTGAAGTTTTGAATAGATATTAGGATATAAATATATGTATTGATTACAGTGTGTACATAGACAGTGTTTTGTGGGGTGGGTTAACCTTACCGTCCCTACAATATGTTGACATACACTCACAGGTCTGGATCATCCCTCTATTCCAGCTGGTAATTTATGAACTCAGAGATTTCTAAATTCATGCTATTTTTCCCCCTTTATGATACTGCACACCTCTATTTTCAAAAGGGTAGATTGTGTAAATATATATTGAAAAGGTACCATGATCAAAACTCAAGACAGAATATTGAATGATAATTTCTTAAAAGGCTTTCTACCATGCTAAACCCTATTTTTGATCAAGTTCATGGTGAGTCACATTTATTGCAAAGTCATGCTTACAAGCAAGTGGTATTTTGGTCCCCTGGTAAAGAACTGTCACATAAATAAAACTTTATAGAATTTTTTCCAAACTAATGTCTTTGGTCCCTTGTTGTTTGTTCCCTCAATCTTGACTGTCCTAACTAGTACAGCTGGCCTAAACTTACGTGACTTGGCCATTAAGGCCGTTGTCTGCATCAGTTGCTTGGACTGTTAATATGGACGTCATTGGATCTTCATTTTCCAGAATGTGTCCTACATAAGTTCCGGAGTGTTCAAAGATAGGAGAGTTATCATTAACATCGGCGACTGTGACGATCACTGTCCCTGTGCCGGTCAGCAGCGGGCCGGGGTGATCTGTAAAAATACAAACAATGAACATCTGTAATACAGTGTAATATCTTTTTTTTTTTTTTAATTTGAAGACAATTTCTATAAAATATTAATCAGACAGGAGTAATAACCTAATGAGATGAATTAATATCTGATTAAATCAAATTACACCTGTGTTCGTTCACAAGACAATCTGTTATGGCTGATCATATGTCACCTGCACCCTATTGGTCCTGTCGTGGTTATCGACAACTGTTCTAGAGACAACTTGAAACATTTGGTTTACAAATAACCTGTCATGTGTTAATGTGCCTCGGAAATATAAAAACAACCCTGAAATATCCCAAAGTTACCATAATGACTCTTTGAAGATAACGATTTTTATGTAAATTATACAACATGGGGAAATTTTAATACAATAACTAATTTTTACATTGATCCAATTGTAATGACAGGAAACTGCCAAGTTCAAAACGATCTGTTACAGAGTTCACTCTTTAATTTCATTGTCTGATCAACGGATGGCTGAAAGTTGAATGTGAGCTGGGCAAATATAATCAGTTGAAGTTTTCAGTCGCCATACCAAATCTTGCTTCTTATGAAGTACATTATGTTTCCAAAATCAATTTAATGAAATGTGCATGTGGTTTTATTGAGAAAGAAATTCACTTCAAGATGTTAAAACAGGTAGTTGAGAGTAGTAACTTTGGCCAAATTTAGAGGGTAAATATATGTTTCTGCCCCACCTAATGTGTATAAGCTGTCTCGAGTCTGTATACATCAGCTGCATAGTAATTACTTGTTCACCAGTTGTATCTTACTTATATCACACACTGAGACATCTTCTGTCACATCAGCTGCATAGTAATTACTTGTTCACCAATTGTATCTGACTTATATCACACCCTGGGACATCTTCTGTCACATAAGCTACACCGTCATGAAAGACTTATCAGATGAAAAAGAGAGCAAATCCAAAAATATGCATAATATTTGAAGTCCTACATTCTAGAGCAGACTGTTAGAGGTGTAACGAATACAAAAGTTAATATACAGGGAGGGTAGGGAATTAGACAATGTTAATTAAATCTGTAACATACTGTAATAACAGGTTACATAAATAACTACATTGGTCAGTATATACAGGGAGGGTAGGGAATAAGACAATGTGAATTGAATCTGTAACATACTGTAATAACAGGTTATATAAATAACTACATTGGGCAGGTTTCCTGATCTTTGTGTGAAGTGTTTGGTCTAGGCAGGTTTCAGTTTAGGCAGGTTTTACTCTATCAGTGAAGATTTCAATCTTGGATAGGTTTACTTCTGTATCGAGTGTTTTGATTGTGTACACTGGACTAACATAAAGTCGACCACTGTATGGTCCATCCTACTCCTCAATCTACCACACAATTACTGAAAGGAATGAATGCCCTGGCACAAATCCTAGGTTTTACCTTCCAAACCTCATATTGATATGAAACATGTGTTATATATTTTTTTTATTTCTAAATCACATTTGAGATATTTTCTACAACATTCACACCCTGTCTGAAGCCATTAATAGCATGGCTTTATTCCTTCTGTTTAGATATGACCCACTCTTGCACAATTTTGTTAAGAGAACTTCAGGGTGTTCTGACCTTCAAACCCCTGTTTTTTTCAGTCGTTTTTTATCACCATGGTATGTCTCTCCATTAGCATCTAGTACCAGTAACACCATGTCTTATCTTACCCAATAAAAACTTCACATTTTTTCACTCCAGGATTATTAACTTTATAATGAGTTTGAAATTTGACACCTACAGTCTGGTGATTTTTTTTTCATCCAGTTCTTTCTTCACTATAAAAATATGTCCCAGCACCAAGCATTCCACAACTTTATATTAATGAGGCTCCCCCACATCAAACTACGGCTTTCGACACACATCATTTGATAACACATACCAGGTACTATTTCCTGATTCGGTCACAATCTTCTGCATCTTTTACTAATTTTGAACAGAAGATCTGTCATTAAATTTGAAAAAAAAATGTACATAACTTTTCATTAGGAAATAACTACATTTGTATTTCAGAAATTGATTCCTAATGAAGAAATTATGCAATCATACTAGTTAAATACCAATAAGTATTTTTTTTATTACAAAAAATACCTTTTCATTACATACCCCAGTTAAGAGTTAGAATTTGAAGAATTTAATTTCCTATAAATTTCACAAATATATGATCAATCAAAATAAACATAGAATATACAAATGAGATTAATTTTGAATTGAAACTCAACAAATTGATATTCAAAGAATTTTAACCACGACAGAATAAGTTTAGAATTGATGTATGATGTCACAGGCTTTCTATAAAACCTGCCTGATTTGTCTCTAAAAAGATGTTCATTTTGTGTTAAATTTGCTAATTACCATAAAGATGAATTTCTCATTAACAGAACGTAGAACAGGAGAATGAATAATTGACCTGGGACACGGCCGAGGAGAAACTGACTTTTCAATAATTCATCACAGAGGAAATGTCTCTTTGATATTTAAGGTACAAGCTAAGGAGTTGACTAATTGATTTCAATATGGATGTGTGCATCACTTGTTTGATGTGAGAACTGTGTCGCTATAATATTCATATTGTTGTATCACCATGTTATATATCTATATCTAGTTAAAATGTATCACTGTATTGTGTGTAGATGTGTACTGCTGTATTATGTGTAGATGTGTACTGCTGTATTATGTGTAGATGTGTACTGCTGTATTATGTGAAGATGTGTACTGCTGTATTATGTGAAGATGTGTACTGCTGTATTATCTATAGATGTTTATTACATACTTACTTATAAATACAGGCATTTTGTATATGTGATACAACACAATTGCTCTAACCCATATCAGATCTCGCCGTATCACACCCCAAGACCTGTATCAGCCCTCGCCGTATCACACCCCAAGCCCTGTATCAGCCCTCGCCGTCTCACACCCCAAGACCTGAATCAGCCCTCGCCGTATAACACCCCAAGACCTGTATCCGCCCTCGCTGTATCCCCCCCCAAAACCTGAATCAGCCCTCGCTGTATCCCACCCCAAACCCTGTATCAGCCTCGCCGTATCACAACCCAAGACCTGTATCAGCCCTCACCGTATCACACCCCAAGCCCTGTACCAGCCCTCGCCATATCACACCACAAGACCTGTATCAGCCCTCTCCGTATCACACCCCAAAACCTGTATCAGCCTCGCTGTATCACACCCCAAGACCAGAATCAGCCCTCGCCGTCTCACTCCCCAAGACCTGTATCAGCCCTCACCGTATCACACCCCAAGACCTGTATCAGCCCTCGCTGTATCACACCCCAAAACCTGTATCACCCTCGCCGTATCACACCCCAAGACCTGTATCAGCCCTCGCCGTATCACACCCCAAAACCTGAATCAGCCCTCGCCGTATCACACCCCAAAACCTGTATCAGCCCTCGCCGTATCACACCCCAAGACCTGTATCAGCCCTCGCCGTATCACACCCCAAAACCTGAATCAGCCCTCGCCGTATCACACCCCAAAACCTGTATCAGCCCTCGCCGTATCACACCCCAAGACCTGTATCAGCCCTCGCCGTATCACACCCCAAGACCTGTATCAGCCCTCGCCGTATCACACCCCAAAACCTGAATCAGCCCTCGCCGTATCACACCCCAAAACCTGTATCAGCCCTCGCCGTATCACACCCCAAGACCTGTATCAGCCCTCGCCGTATCACACCCCAATACCTGTATCAGCCCTCGCCGTATCACACCCCAAAACCTGTATCAGCCCTCGCTGTATCACACCCCTTTCGGAAATTTTTCGTTTTTTATATTTCAAAAGAAAGATAGATCATAAGAAAGTAGATCTATCAGTATTTTATTATAAAGAATGTAATAAACAGAACAATTAAAACAGGCCTTTTTCCATATCACACCCAGTATCAACCTTCTTCACCCCTCAGGCTGATATTGGGAGTCTCGGGTTGATACTGGGTGTGATATGGAAAAAGGCGTGTATTATTCTCTATATATTATGTATATTGTGTGTCACTCAATGTTTGATGCTGGGAACACAGTTCTACAATATAATATATAAATAGTATCACTGTGACAAAAAGTGCTTACTAAATAGTCTCCCCAGTGAATGGTGAGTGTTTATCAGTATAACATACCCAGATATACACGTCTGACCTACCTGTTTGTGAACATACATTAACCAGGACGGGCTGGCATATCGAATGTAAAAAATTCCATACATTTATTGTGAGACAATTAAAAAAATGCTATCTTTGTACAATGACAATGTATTTCAACCATGTCATACAACATTAAAATGATATCACAAATAATATTTTTACCATGTAGCAAACAAGTCTATCTACTTTCAGTGGCATCAGGTGTTCAGAGTATGGTATAGGAAAACTTGTACAGAATGATCAAGTTTGCCTGCCAGACGAATCACTTTCAACTCCCTACAACCTAACTCTAAAACTACGATCAGAGTTGTATAAAGGGTGGTTTAGAGAGGTTTAACAGTACTATACAATAAAAACTGCTGAACAAACCAACAGAGAAACAGGTATGAAAATAATGTAATCAGTTGCCAGGTAAGAGACAGGTAGGTAGCTAGCCTGGCAGGCCTCCAGATGGGATGTTGGCATAGAGTACCAGCAATAAGGAGTATTGTGATGTATTGGCGTCCTCGGGGAGCTGTCCTCGGGGAGCTGTCCTTGGAGTCCTCGGGGAGCTGTCCTCGGGGAGCTGTCCTCGGGGAGGACATCGGGGGGCTGTCCTCGGGCTGTCCTCGGGCTGTCCTCTGGGAGCTGTCCTCGGGCTGTCCTCGGGGAGCTGTCCTCGGGCTGTCCTCGGGGAGCTGTGTATGGGTGGTGTCATCACCACTCACCCTTAGCCTCACGGAATTGCTCTCCTTCTTTACTACTTGACTCTAAATCTCTGTATCCTAATGTTTCTGTGTGTTTGCTCCTCTTACATAATA